GTATTTTTAAACGGTAATAAAAATAGTTTCTGCTTACATCTGAAATAGACTAGAAAAAGAATGTGTGTACATGTCCGTAGCCTTATGTTGTAAATATAAAAAAAGTCAGTTGTTATATTCAATGTTAAAATAAGATTTATGTTTACCAGTTTTATCCATTAAATATTTTTATGTTTTCTTTCGTGATTTTTTTTTGTCGCCCCAAACTGAAAAGAAGTCGTCAACGACTATCAATAGACCTGTTTCTATGTATAAATTGTGTATGTTCAGTAAATGATTGATGCGTAAGGAAATCAAATTTAGATAAATATTTCATCAACACCGTACAGTAATCTATTATTATAGATTTGACAAACCCTTTTTACAATGCCTGGAGGAAAGTTCAAGTTATGCACTAAAACCTAATTGCTTTTTGTAACAAGATCTTGCATTTACTTTCAAGATATTTTTTATGAACTTAGATATTATTTACCTTCACTTGAAACATTTTAAAAAGTAGGTGGGTCAAGTGCTAAAGATGTCCACCTTTTAACCTAGGGATCGAACACTTCAATATAATTTAAACAAACTTAACTTCTTTTTACAAAATCAAACAAAATGTTATGTTTTAATTTTAATAGAATAGAGCTAAATTAGATGAATCACATGACTATTTTTATTTGACCACAAAATATAAAACTTTTGCGTATAGAAATAATTTCCTCAAATGGTATTTCATGTGCAACGCAATTTTATTAGCTATATAAAAGTGGAAAACACCTTTTATATGCTTGAATAAAAAACTGTACACACAAATACTGTACAAATAAAATCAAACTCAAAGAAAAAAAAAGAAAGCCACGGATCGTAAATTGATAAGAGTTTGTTATAAATCAGGAAACTATTTTGTCGACACACCCTTGCGTTTAAATGAACACTTAATTCTTAAAACGCCACAACCATGTGGTACAAAAACAATTCATAACATTTTGGTCAAGTCAAACGTTGTTCAAAACCCACCCACGCCATTCTTATTAATGTTATAATTATGTTGGCCGCCTTTAAACCAATATTTTATCAAGTTAATATAAAAGGATTATATATTTAAAGGCCGACATCGATGCGTTCTCAATCAATAAAGCGTGTTAAGAAATCAGTCAAATGCTAGAAAAAATGTAAATAATAATAATAATAATAAATGTACAAAATATAACCATTTTTTCACGGAATACTACGATATATCAAAAGTATTTGTTTGTAGATGTCACTAAAAGCGACATGGCTCCAGATTCATGCTAGTAATTTTCATGAAAATTTTTCAAATGCATTAACAAATAAAAAATTATTAACAAATAAAAAATTATCAAGTGAACAAAGAAACTAATTTGGACATTGCAAATTGAATTAAGTGACAGCCTCTCAACACAGGAATCATTGGTTTGAGCCCTAATCGGGTTACGACCATGTAATATTATGCCAATAGCTATCCCTTTGGAATACGGATCATTCCGGAAACGCCAGTACTTATATTAATGACATAATGAATCAAATTGTCACAAAAAACTTATTTTATAGAGAACAAGGTTTCCCCTCTCGATACAAACAACCTGTTGCTGATGGTTTTATAATGTTAGTTTGGAGAAATTCCAGGTCATATTGTTCAAAAGTCATGATGTTATCTTAATATGCATGTTTCCCTGACTTGTTGATAGGTTCCCTGAATTATCGTCTGTTTGTTTCCATAACAAACAAGAACGCGCGCGAGATTTTCTGTATGTATCAATAACAAACATGAACGTGCGCGTGATTCAGTCACGTACTGCACTTGCATTCTTGGAATAATTTCATGGAATCAGATTTGAGTTGTTTGACACGAGGAATTCCAAAATCTTGAAATAGTTTCATTTCATCCTGAGATTATATCTGCTAGCAGGATCTCTTTCTTTTCATTTTGTAAAAATATACAGGCAGCACTGTAAATGAAGACCACATGCTGGAATTGGAGCCAGAGAATATTTCTTCTAGTTTGTTATCTTCTTTTTCATTTTGCCAAAAAAAAAAAAAAATAAAAATGCAGGCATCTCTGTAAAAGAAGACCACATGCAGGAGTTTTTCGATGATTGAAAACTGTAACAAAAAGTTTGTTTATCCAAAATATAGCAACCGAACCTTTGTATAGTATATATTTTATTTGTAATATATATATTAGTGTTAGCAGTCAATAGAATGTTTGTTTATTTCAGAAACGAAATACTCAGTGGCCTCCTTGGTTACCAAGAAAACAGTACGCATTCGGATATGCTCGGTTCTTAAGGAGACATAAACTAATGGGTAAATTCTTCAACTGGATAGGAGGTACTTAAATATGCTTTTCTTTTACTTCAAAAGTATCTATCATAATTATATAGGGTCATTATAAGCTATAAAATGGAATGACCTTTCTATCAGATGTTGGGCATAGTTGATATTTCGAGTAGGGTCGTCTGTCACTTTCAGTATTATATGTTTGATTTAGAATACCGTATTTGCACTGCTATTGAAAGACACGACTTGTTTACATGTAATTGCGGAATCAATGCTCCCGGACGATAAAACTCCCACAGTATATCAGTTTGTCTTGTGGCAATAGTCCTTATTTCATAACAAGCATGACATTAGTAAAATATTAACTTGTCAGCATACCCTCGCCCAATGTTTGTTTATGATCAATTAAGCAATCGCATCATCTCGGCCATTTCCGTCAAACTTCGGAAGTTATTATTGATAATAGCCGAGATGTCCCGATTTATAAATAAGTTAGTAACACCTGACACAACATGCATTTAATCTTTTTTTCTTTCGAAAGTACTACGAATATTACGAAATATTCCAATTCTCTTACTTTAGACAAATTGCATGATCTCCAGAAGTTGCACATATATTTTTTTCAAACAAACCCACGTCAAAAGTCTATTTGTTGTTATGACAGATTTTGCTATGCATTGCATATTGTTTGTAAGATACTTTTTTCATATATTTAATTGTTTTTCAGGTGATATATACATACCAGTTTTGTGGCAGGCACCGCTACTAGAATCAGACGATAAACTTCCGGTTCTCGTAATGTCTCACGGTATTGGCGGGAATCGCACGACATATAGCACGTTCTGCTGCGAGATAGCGTCTCACGGTTTTATCGTGGTCGTCCCGGAACACCGGGATGGAAGCGCGTCTATGACCTACTTATTAAAAGACAATATGAGGGGGACTGTTGTGGAATTATTGAAAGATCACGAGTGTGGCTTACATAGGAGACACACGATGCATAAATCTCACAGTTTCACGGAAGAGTGGCAGTCCTTTGAACACACGGATCCACTTGGGATACAGTGGGATGACTTTGATTATAGAAATAAACAGGTAAATAACAGCTTTCTTGGTACTTGGTTATCAAGATATAAAAAAATCCACTTTTTCATTTACATCGTATCAAAGGCTTAAGTATGTATGCCTTTCTACGATTTTTAAAAGATGGTCCATAAAAATGATATGATTTAATAAGCGCCTGTTGCATCTGATAAGCGTCTATTGCCCCCGATTTGTCCATAATATTATGGTTTGAACCATTTCACGGTGCCAATGTGCCTATATCACGTGACTTATTTGGGTGAGCGGGCTCTATTCTTTATCCAATAAAAAATATAAAATATTGGAAAAACGTTATGACAGGAAATAAAATCTTGACCGTCTTTTGTTTTGGCTTTCTGCCCCACACGAACAAAAAAGTCACGTGTTATCCTGGCACCGTGATTTTGTACGAATGTTACTTCTGTTGAATATGGAGATGAAATTCTGAAATAATAACGTGCTGTGTTTAATCTAAAATGTATGTTTGATTTGCGGTATAAACATAAAAACCTCTTGAGTAAGTTGAATCTTTAAACTAAAGAAATGCTTTGAACTTGAAATGTTTGCCGCCAGTTTGTTGATTGCCGGTGTAACAGTTTCTGGAAAACAAAATGAAAACACTTTTATAAGAAACAAATATGAGGAGTCATTGACCTCGTTTTCGATTACCTTTCCAGAGATGTTAGATTGATTCATACCCATCATATCATTTCTCAAAGATATAATGAGTCGTGATCACATGATATGATTCGTGATCACGTGATCTGAGATAGCAGACGATAAGATATAGTTACCTGTGCGCCTCGTGGAGGCATGCTGTTTTATTATATCATTATCTTACCATGCTAGTTAATCCTTCAAAAGATGTTAGACTCATTGGTTCCAGTCAATTTACTTGTACATGTATATTCCAATACATGTACTTTGTCAAGTTGCTGATATTTGGTTAAAGCGGTGTTTCTTTTATCCTCTAAATCTACATGTCTTCGTTCCATCTAAAATGCACTATAAACGTATTAACCCAAATACCATAGTTACGTACAAAATCGCGGTACCTATACCACGTGACTTTTTGTGATCTGTGTTCGACAGCAAACCAATGCAAAAGACAGACAAGTTTTTAATTTTCTATCATAACTTTTTATAAATTGTTCCTTGGCTTGTCTGTTGTCCGTGGTTCAGGCCTCAACAGACGGTAGGATTTAGTTGTACAGCACTAATTAGGGATAAGATGTACAATTTTCAAAGCTATACAACACTTGCATTCAGACGGTAATTCTACACTGTTAGAATCATCTGAGGTTTCCCCTAAAAAGGATCCCTTTACATTGATCCTTTACATACTTTACTCACTAAATACTTTTTTCGGCATGAGTAATGATTGAAACACCTCCATTTAAAAAAAAAATATATATGCATATTTTTAATGTAAAGCCTGACCGAGACTCAAACCTGGGACCCTCGGAATACCACACGGTGGCTCTACTGACTAAGCTATCTGGCCGCCTACTAACTACCTCCCCTCCCCTAATTAGAGAACAATTCAATAATGTGACATAATCATTTTCGGAATAATTTGGGATTCGAACATAACACAACTTTGGGTCTTCTGAAGAGTTTTTCAACATACTTTTTACCCCCATCTTACTTCTATGCTTACCTATTAGCCCTAATTGTTCTGGAATTTCATTCATTGCACCCATTCTCAGGAGATAATTTGGTTATCTGTTACTTGTCATTGTGGGAGGTCTGTAAAAATCGGTACGACAAGATTTTCAAAATAGAACATGTCCATATCCCTTACATCTAGACATAAGGTTTCCGAAATCAAGAAATAGTAACCTTCACACATTAATATTTGTCTGCACATCTTAGTTTTAATTGGTGTTGTACTTCAAAATCCTACCGTCTGTTGAGGCCTTTAATAATTTAACACAGCCAGGACTATTTTTGCATAAATTTGACATACTTTTGGTAATTTTCATATATTTTTACTGCCGTTTTCAATGTGTATATTACTTTCTGTGTTCACTTGACAATATTTATTTCTTAAATACATTTTTAAAGAAATCATGAAAATTAGGATAGATCTTGAGGCATGCTTCTTTAATGTATCAAGCACGTGTACAGTCACACTATAAGCTGTTGCTTGTTCGAGAAAGTTTAATGATAAGTATTTTCCACTTTCCCACATTATTGCACAATTCAGTTTTTTTATCATAAAAAATAAACCCAGACATAGTAGTTCATGAGCCTTGTATATTTTTTCAAATACATCAATTTTTGATGGCATATCAACTAATGACAGTGATAAGTATGTTTCGTAAATGTCAGTGTTAAATGTGAATAGAAACTTCTACAGAAGTAAGGGTATTGTTAGGTTATCTTTAGACAAGTTTCTGGTCCAATTTAGTTTGTTTTACACTGACACTAATTGGTTAATTTTTAATCAGGGAGATAACCCGTCAGCAATAAAAAATATTCATGAGAACAGCAATGAAAAATTTAAACAGCCACAATTTTACGACAATTATCTTTGTTTTATGAATACAAATGTATTCATTATTTATTTAATTGATTTATTCTACCCAAAGCGTCCCAAAGCGAAAACTCGTGGTTTATCTAAAGTAAAGATCACCGTCGTTTTGAATACTTTTGAATGTTAAATTTTGTTTCCATTTTCAGACAAGTTCTGGAAAATTCCATCATCATTAGTAATTATCACCGCCATCAGCAACACCACTATCATCATCATCATCATCATCATCATCATCATCATCATCATCGTCATCATCATCATCATCATCATCATCATCATCATCATCATCATCATCATCATCATCATCATCATCATCTCAATTACCATGATATTAAGTATTATACTAATATGGTATTAGTAAATAAATGCAAATATTTCAAAGCTTTTATCATATATACCATGGGAAAATGTCCCCTACATTGTATTTATTTTTCCCCAGGTTCATCAGAGGGCTTCCGAATGTATTCGTCTGCTCGACGTTCTTACTGATATTAACGACGGTCGTAGTGTTCGCAACTTCTTGGGCTTCCATTTCAGTCTTAAACAATTCAAGGTATGTATCTCGGATATAATGAATATTTTATTTATAAATATTGTTAAGGTGACGCAACCATATTACAAAATTGTTGTATTTAAACATGTGCCGGATGCATCAGAACACAATTAAAGTTATTTGAATCTTACAGTAAAGGTTAGTGTGGTATTATAATGAACTTACACTGATTAATGTTAATTTGAAACAAACCAGTTTCTGTCACTTGTGTGTCGTCTGATGAATATTGTAGATATAAGAAATTTACTTAATACGGGTTGGAGCAAACACGTAGACATAATGCGCTTTAAAGATCCTGTATGTTGTAATTGAGGTTGTATACCACACTGAAATGAAATTATATATATGTATATAATTATGCTTGTAAAACAATTTTCAAACATCGGAGTATATGTAAAATATGTACTGCAAAATAAATGTACATATTATATGTAATCATTAAAATACATGTATACGCATATATCTTGTTGAAAAATTTGACTTAGTCTTTATACTTTTTTATTACCTCCCTTTATTTACATGAAATGTTAAATTCGGTAATATCTTTATAAATATTGCTCTTTGGAACTTACAAACTTGGTAAATCTAAATTTGAGCATCATATTTATGATATAAAACCATAAAAATTGTGTTACAGGATCTTTAAAGATTGTAATATTGTAACAAGTTAGTATAATTCTGTAACCTGCGCGCGATTAATGTTCATAATTTAATAGAGGATATTGAAGTTTTTTTCCTATAAATACAGAAACTTTTTCATCGAATAAACAGTCCGGCAAGACACCAGTGAAAATACGGAAAATATGTTTCACTGCAGTGAAAAATGAACTTAAAGAGATAAAATAGGCATTTTATTTCATCAATATTTCATTTATAAGTATATAATAATTTAGGTAAATATTCTTATAATGCGTTTTTATTTTTGGCAAAAAGTAACGGAAAAGTGTCATCAACATTAAATGATCAGAATGAAACACAAATTAAACAAAACAAACATTCATTCCATAAAACTTATGTATGATCATCAATTTTGTATGTAAAAAATACCTGTAATATTTTATTCAGAAGGCCATCTATCATATCAAACATTAAAAAAACCCCGATTATTTTCGGACATATTTATCAATTTGTTTTTTTTATAAGAAAATAGGCTACAGGCAATGCTCAAAAATAAAATGTGTTTTATTCTTAATCATAAAGATGCTATCAAAATTCTCCCTAAATGATAATATTGATAAAGAAAAATTATTCGGAATGAAATATTCTATTGTTTTTCTGCTTCAGGGTCGCATGGACATGTCGAAGGTGGCGTTTGCCGGACATTCCTTTGGTGGGTCAACATGTGTAACTACACTAGGACAAGACAAACGTTTCAAGTAATTAAATGTTGTATTTCATACGTTTCTATCTATGACTGAGTACTGCAATGTTCAATAAATGCATTTGAGAAAAAAATGCAGGGTTATATTTGAACAGTTATAAAATATTTTATTAATTTATAGTTCAAACCCTTGTACGGTTCTTTGACAATCGGAACACCTCGGTTATTATAAATTATCCGAAGACTGACGGAAAGGGCCGAAAGTTACGATTTATTTCTTAGATAGATGGCGTCTCGTGAAGCGCGGATGGATATCTGGGATATATTTCCACGTGCAAAGCCGGAAGTCGTCATAAGATTTTAAAACAGCGCCAGTCTGACGTAAATATAAGATCCCAACGAAAGTAGTTCGTCCTAAAATCAATGGCCTGTATTGTTCACCATACATACACAGGTCTTTAAAATCAATTCAGTAATTGGAAATTTCTCTTTAAAAAATTATCCATGAATTTACCTTAGATCTTACCGCCTTAAAGAGATGTTTCTGTTAGGAACGGTCTCAATAGGGAGAAAATCAATATCGATTGTTGAATATAGTTTGCGTCTTGCGCCTTAAATGGTTGATTAATTTGGTTGTTAAATCTGCACGCGCTGTAAATATTGAATAGGCGATACAAATCTTACATTTGTACATAAACACATAATGAAAGTAATGGCAGGAAAGTTTTACTGTCAACTTTTTTTAAACATTTGATTCGTTTTCTTAGCATAAATTCATATATCAGAACTTTTTAATTTAAGTATTTGTTTTGTTTGTGGTTATATTTTGTTTGATATACCGGTAATAAAAACCTGCGTATTTTCAAAAGATGAGGTACAGTAAGGTAGCAACTTAGCAACTCGTGCAAAATAATGCACGTGACAACGCTGTATGTTTACCACGTAAACAGAATTCGTATTTTTTATAAAAAATATACTTTATGATAAATTGCATAAGAAAAAAAGTCGTAACAAGATTATTGTTCTCTGTAAATTTTGTTATTATCTTATATATGATAACTGATCGTTTAAATCAAAACAAGTTTTGACGTAAAATTATAAAAATTAATCTACATATAACACACACAATTTTACTTCTTTGATTTTTTTAAGACCTGAACTAAAAGCTGTTTTCTATGGTGGCTAATGGCGCCCCGCCATTTTAACTTTTTATTTCTCGACTTTTCACATGGCAGGGTCGCCGGGCGAAAACATGAATGGCACACATCAGTCACCATAGTTTTCCTTTTCATTTCAATTTTCTATGATAAATATATAATATAAAGGTTTTACAAATATCTGGTTATTCTATACCTACCATAGAAAAAGCAGAGTACATTAAAAGCTTGTATTAGCTTTCTAGTGTTATTCTGATAAAACAGCTCAATAAAAATTCTTTGATATGGAATACAACTTGCGTCCGATAATTAATTTTTTCACAGGGTGTACATTTATACACAACATTTATAATGAAGTTATTAGTATAATCTGAATTTATAGATACCTTATAATGAATCAAGTAATAGAAAAAGCATCGAAACTCGAGGCTATCTGATTCGTAGAACGTTGCCAAGTGTTTTGTATCATAGGCAAAATGAAAAAAAAAACCTTTCATTGTCGTCACCATATGAAACCCTAGAATAAATGAACCAATGTACAGACATTAAGATATGATTTTCTGTCATTATCTCTTTCCCTGTTGTCATAAGTAAGTAAACCCAAGAAAAAATGTAGCCACTCAACGAGCATGCTCTATGTATTATATCCCCGACAGACAGTGCAGTAATTGGAGTGCAGGGCGGCACTCCAGTTAACGCACTGTGCATGTATGGGTATACAATTTAAATATGACACATTTTCAATAGAAAGGTCTGCAAACTATGATACAAGAAAGACGTTAATGCAAGAAAAAGACACGTGTTTAATAGTTTGGGGATCTTTCTGTTGAAAATGTGTCAGAGTTAAATCGTATACATATACAATGTACAGTGCGTTAACTGGAGTGCAGGTATTAGTTACATCACCAGAGCATGCCCACTGATTGGCTCATTTTTGCTTGGGTTAACTTATTGTGATGGCAGAAAAAGGGAAAGCGATAGAAAGTGTTGTAGGACAATTTCAAAACAGTTTAATTTTAGTCATTCATAATATTTCATTATAGAGTGGGTATAATGCTGGACGCGTGGATGCATCCCCTTAACGAAGAGCTATGTTCTAAAGTGACACAACCAGTTCTCATACTCAACTACGAGAAGTTCCAGTGGCAGAAAAACGTGAAACAGATGTCATGGTTACAATCTGATGACGTAGACAGGACAATGCTCACGTTAAGGTTGGTTACCTGTCTTTGTTTATAAAAAACATTAAACACATGAAACCGATTCTTCAATTAAAGGCATATTATGCCTCAGAAATCCATATTTTTTAATTATTTCGAAATGTCAAACATGTGTTTAATAATGTTTTGATAATATATTTAGAGTATATTTTAATACTGGCGGAAGTAGGGTTAATAGTGCAGTAATGTGTCGTGAAGTCCGCAAAATGTTAACCAAGTAGTATTTTGACTTCCATACAAAATACTCATTCACTATAATCATAACAGTTGCTGACAGCGCGAAAGCAACAAATGATAAAAATTAGAATAGTTTTGGAACTGTAACAAGAAAGCTCGGTTGTGCAAAAAGCTTGTACATGTAATTTATTAGCTCTTTAGTGACTTCCTGGGACTGACCAGTATTAACCCTCAACCACTAAGTTGAGAGGCATACTATAACCACTTAGCCCCCGGTAATTGTGGCTTATTCAACAACTTGAACGTTTTATCTTAAATCAGTCTTGTTTGTTTAAGAAACAACTGAAACAAGTACACGCCTCTGTGAAATAATTACTACTCACATTAAGATATGCGTCTGACAAATGTCGTCCTTTATAACAAAGGGAGTTAAGTCTACTCGCACATGTTATAATACGTGTGTCGTATACCCTTTAGCAAACGGTGTCCATTATCATAAAGGGACTTAACACTCATTGAACTTTGTTATATTCTTTTTCTTTCCAGAGGAGCTTGTCATCAAGCTATTAGCGATTTCCAGTTCATTGTTGGAAAAGCATTTGGTAAATTGATGGAAGTCCGGAGTGATCTGTCTCCAAAAGTGGCAATGGATGTTAACAAAAGAGCTACCCTTGGTTTTCTATCAAAACATCTAGGTACGTTACAACTTACAATAGATTGATTCATATATTTAATACAGACCGAATTGAAAATTGACTGTTTAGCATGGACACTCTTTCATATAGTAGGGGCAAAACGTTTTCTGGCGTTTCGAATACGCGGCATTATTTATAGGACTATCCTTATTCTTTTGACTGCTTTCAAGATAGATATACCCGCCCAAATCAGCTTAATTTAGTCAGGGTCTTGTATTTGAATGACTTGTCGCAGTGCTAAATCCAAAATAGGAGTTAACACGTAATTGAACTAAAGTAATGGACAATTCATCTACACGACAAGTTTACCCATTCCAATCAAAGTACCATGTTCGTATGTTTCTAAAACAACAGATAATTCCACCGCAAAGCAAGTAAACTACTACTACCGACATTTTTCTTCTCTGCTTGGCAACATTTGAATAGTAACGGCGCTAAGGGGGACAACTGCGTCGGAGATAATGTTTAGTCATTATTGAGTTGTTTCCCTTTGAGTATTTGACGTTCTTCCATCTTGCTTGTCTTTTAATGAAAAGTGTATTTTTTGTTTATTATATTTACAGGATTAGATGGTCTAGACAGTGCTAATGACGTGTTGACAGGAAGTCACAAGGACGTTGTCCTAGGAACAACTCTGGATGTGACGTAATTTCCAGAAATCTTTACGTTAAAATCCCGACTGTGATATTTAGATATTTTACAAAATGCCATGAGTTACCGTTATGTCTTTCGATATAAATTATCACAATGCATTATTTTTATGTCTTCTTTTTATATTGATTACGTTACCGTCCGTTTTTGTAAGAAAAGTGCTTGCACGTTAATTTGTACGTCATTAATTACAGGTGCAATTTTATTTTAACCACTTCAGAATTGACCAGTTTTTTCTATATATACTTGATGTTATTATAATATAGGTTATATAAGTACAATGACTGCAAAATTATGGAGGTTTGAATACATGTTTACAATTGGTACTTTTGGAAAGGGTAAATTACCGTTCAGTGTACACGCTTTCTAATGTTACGTTTTTCAGTTTATCTTTTACGATTTTTAACAATTTAATTAAAGCACTAGCCAGAGTATGATGCCAAATCTTCGTCGGGCATTTCACTTTTTTATGATTGAAAAGTTAGGATATAATCTGTTTTTTGGTCTGTCTGTGATATACCGTATTCTTACATATAGGTACAGACAGGAATATCAAACTCTCGGGCAACTGTTAAGTGGAAACTCGGCAGAGCCTCGTTATCGCCGTAAACAGTTACCCTCGAGCTAGATATAGAGGATATTTGTTTAGTTCAGTGTAAGATCGGAATATATTTCACCGAGTGAGCACCAAAAGGTATATTTCACGAGTGGCGCAGCCACGAGTGAAATATGAACTTTTGGTGTTCACAAGGTGAAATATATTTCGATCTCACACTAAACTAAACAAATTTTCTTTTTATTACATGCAAAGAAACGTTTTTAAAAGACATTAAACCTAATACAGAATGAAAAGCGCGCCAAATAATAATACAACGTGACGTCATTTACGACGTCACGTCATTAAGTTGGTACCCAGTACTGTGAACGCTGGTATTTCACTGAAACAACGTAAGGGGCTTAAATTCAAAACAGTGAAATTATCAAAGTGGTAATTTCACTGTTTCAAACAGTGAAATTACCAGTTTTAATTCACTGATATATTTCTATAAACCATCGAAATGCATGTAATGAATTCCGGTCTTTACCGACAGCCAGTGTAAAATCCTTTTATTACATGCTTTTCGGTGGTTTATAGAAATTTATCAGTGATAAAAAAACTGGTAATTTCACTGCTTGAAACAGTGAAATTACCACTTTGATAATTTCACTGTTTTGAATTTAAGCCCTTTACGTTGTTTCAGTGAAATACCAGCGTGCACAGAACTGGGTACCAACTTAATGACGTGACGTCGTAAATGACGTCACGTTGTATTATCATTTGGCGCGCTGTTCATTCAGTATTAGGTTTAATGTCTTTTTAAAACGTTTCTTTGCATATAATAAAAAGAAAATTTGTTTAGCTTAGTGTTAGCTGCGCCACTCGTGAAATATACCTTTTGGTGCTCACTCGGTGAAATATATTCCGATCTTACACTGAACTAAACAAATATCCTCTATATATTATGCCATGTAGGCTTTTATTTAACAAGTCTGTTAAATGGTTAAAGAAAAAGCATGTCATAATTTTCTAGAATAATTGTTTTGCAATATGAAAAATACAGACTTTTATATAAAGTTTAAAGAATTACAAATTATTTTTTAATTTGTCGTTACTTGATTAGTTAATCAACAAATATGTCAATCTATTTTTATTCCTTTCAAATAATGTGATATTTTTGAGGAAGAAGTTTAAATCCAAATTGCAAATTCCAGTGGCATTGAGGGGGTTATATTATTTTTTATTATATATATTATACGTCTCTTCACCAAGGGTATTGTCAAAACAAATGTATACCTTATATGTATTTTTCATAGATCCTGTAACACAAATTTTTTATGGTTTTATATTAATAAATATGATGCTCAAATTCAGATTTATCTATTTTGTAAGTTCCAAAAAGCATTATTTATATAGATATAAGCGAATTTAACATTTCATGTAAATAATTGGAGGTAATTAGAAATTCATTTTCTATAAAGTCTAAGTCGAAGTTTTTTAATAAGAAATGAATGCAGATATTTTAATGATTTCATATAATGTGCACAAATATTTACAGTACATATTTTACATATTCTTCGATGTACGAAAATTGTTTTATAAGCATAATTATATACATATATAAAATTTCACTTAAGTGTGGTATACAACCTCAATTACAACATACAGGATCTTTAAACTGTTGATGCAATCTCATTTTGATAGTATTTAATTTGATTTATTTTAGTTTTGAATTCTGAAGATGATCTTTATTCATATATTTAAAGGCACCTTATGTTTCAGAAATCCACATTTTTAAAATTATTTATAAATGACAAACATGTGTTTGATAATGTTGAAATAATGGATTTAGAGCATATTAAATGTTGAACAACTGAAGAAAGTTGCGCTGAATGTGCAGTTATGTATCATAAAAGTAGCAAAATGTAAACAAAGTAGTATTTTATTCCCATATAAAATGTTCATTTACTATGATCATACCAATTGCCAATAGAGCCAAAGAAGTAAAACATAGTTCATCTATGTAGCAAATAAGATTTTTTATCTGTATCAAGGTACCAAAAATAAAAAAAAAGTTTTGAGATATAAAAATGATAGCATTTCTGAGGCACAACGGGCCTTTAAAACATGAGAAATCAACATTATTTTAATTTTAGTCAGTAAATTGGCATTATATATGGTATAATTCCTTTGGGCAATTTAACAATTACATAGTGATGAATATACTAATAAAACAACTGTCCTAATCTAGTTAAAGTGGATTGGTCTACAATGTTTTCTTTCAAAAAGTGTTTTTCCCCAAGTATTGATTAAACCAATAGAAATGTATTATTTGGAAGCTCTGGCAAAATAATTCATGAAAGAAAAATGTTGATCTAGTGATTTAGTATTGACTTTTATATGATGAATAACAATATTTTGATCTAGAACACTTTTTTATGATATGTTCTCCTATATATAGATATGTAATAATGGATCATGTATCTAGCATTTATCTCTTATTTACCAGCAACATCCATATGTCAGTCTTTTGTTACTTATAATTGTCACATCTGATGATGCTCCACACTATCAACATGATCTTTAATGGTATTGCATACCTTCCATTACCGATCAATTCACTTTAATACAAAATAATTTTAGATTAACGCCAGCATGAGAAAACGGCCTTAACGCATTTTTACAAATGACGTCAAAAGACGTTAACGTTGTCATTGACGTTGAAAATACAAAAATTGGATTCCACTTATAATGTTTAACATAAATATGAATAGGTAACAATTAGCAATTTTCAAATTTTTTTTTTAAAATTTATTTCAAGAGCTAAAGAATCAGATTTCTTTGAGAATAAAGAATGCTAATTTAAAAAGTGACGTTAAGGGCTGTTTTTTTCATGCTGGCGTATTTTTGTTAAAAATTAATGGTAGGATTGAATCATATAAAAGAATATATAGAAAACAGCCAAATACCACAGGGGCATTACAATAAAATTTATTATATTACACACTGAGCACAATAATTGATAGTTATAATTCAGAAAGCAGTAGAAATTCTTGTTTCCTGTCATTTTTATTCATATAATCTTCTTTATTTTCTTTCATTGTACTTGTTCGCCGATTTCTGTATTTGTTTTGTATGAACATTGTCAGAAAATATTATTTTCCAATTTAAATTATAATTATATCTATTATTTTTGCTATCAATTATACAATACATACTTATCCATGTTACACCTTAAATGCTTTATGATATTGATATTAAACTTAAGTGTTTAAATGATAATATTGTAATTGAATAAATGCTATTTATATAAAGAACATGATATTTTTTCGAAACAAGAAAAAAGCTTGTATACAATATACTTGTCTCAAAGAAAAAAAATCTGTCAACAAATATTTTTATTAGTAAAACTATTTTACAATCTTTCAAATATTTACATCATTCATCTTAGAACAAGTAACTATCAAATATATTATTTTTGTTATAAAAAATAAAAGAAGGCACATTCAAAACATAAATGTTTCTGACATATTTCCATGGCAAAAAAAATGTAGTGTGTCCCATGGGAAATATATCATGCAATGTTTACACAAAATTTTCATCAGATGTTAGCCAAAATGGCCATGGCAGAAAAAATAAAACAGATAAATTATACTTTATAGAAACATTAAATGTTTTAAATCAGATAATAGGTATGTGGCCCTACATAACAATGAAAAAAGAACCGGTGGTTTTGTTATTTTATAAGTTATTTATAAGTTAGTTATCTATGTATACAGTTTGATTTAATTTTTCACATTTCACAATGACACAATGTACCTGATTTTAATATATTAGATATTCAAACTTCTATTTCTATACTACTGTGTTCATTTTCTGTGTTGACTTTGTGTTATTTTCTGTTATTCCTTTGAAATTCTTGTTGTCTGTTTTAATATAACAAACAATTTGTCTTTGCAAATCTATCTTGTTTGATTACATATTTGTTATTTAATTTACTATTATGCTTTCGTATTCAAACTAGTGCTCACTTTATCATACAAGACTGATATTGTATTGTTATTTATCATACGTTAATGCATAATTACTTTACAATAAACATAAATTCACGTTTGTTATGAAAATGTATGCTTTCAGATGAAATTTATATTGCTAAAATAAATTTGAAACTAGGAGCATTTATCTCTTATTTTTCTCTGATGATGTCACTAGTTTATGAAGGATCACAACAAGTAAATGAAAGAAGATTGTTTTAAGTTACAATATTCCGAATCAAATTGGATCGATTTCCGGATTGAGGTCAATTGCAGGAAAAATGTAGTCCATATTAAGTATAAAGGGCAATTGCAGGAAAAAGTGGTCCCCATTTACTATTGAGGTCAACTGCAGAAACAAGAAGTCCTCATTTAGTATTGAGATCAATTGCAGGAAAAAGTAGTGCACATTTAGAATTGAGGGCAATTGCAAGTAAAAATTGTACACAGTTTTAAGGTCAGCTGCAGGAATAAGTTATTAACAGTTTGCAAGAGAAAAAAAACTGTAGTAAACAAAAACATATTTTTCCAACAAACTACGATATACGATAAATACGTGCTTGAAATAGTAGACAGGGGGACACCTGAAGTCTTCCTACATCTCTGCTGTGTTGGTACGACGGCGTTGATCCTATTAAAAATAATAATAGCAATATCATATTTGAAATGTCCTTGAAAATTGATGTTTGGAGAAATTCTATTCAACTGCGTCTTGTTTACGAGATAACGTGTATTAAATTGCATTACCATTTATTTTTTTGGTCTGGTAATTTGAATATGTGTAGTACAAACTAGATTCGACAAGATTATAATTATGACAAAATAAAAACGGTCTTGCTCATAAATTTGTTATTGTTTCTTTTCTTCATTAATTAAATAAAAGGACACGTTGTTTCAATTATTGATAAAATCTGAAGGGCATCTGAAAGGAAATGAACAACAAATAAATTTAAAAGTCATAAAAGGTTTTTGGTCATGCTTGCATGTCATGTTAGAGTTAAGATTAGTGATTTCATTGCCCATAAACAAGTTGCATACATTGTTACTGGTTACGAAACGTAGGGCCACTATAAATAAGAACCAGTCAGAAAATTGGAAACAAAATATGGCTTACCAAAACCGGCAGAAGGCCTGTAGCACAAAAATAATTGAATGCATATTCTTCTCCTGTGATGGTATTGCTGTTCAAAGTTTGTTCAGAAGGACATGAGTGTTACAGGTCGTTATAACTGAGATGTTATACTAAAAAGCTGATATCTAGCCACGTGCGACTTTTTTCGTATTCCCAAAAGTTAAAAAATTCTGACCATCGATAAAAGTCCCGACAGACCCTTGACTCGGCCATCCGTCCATGCTTCAGAGATCTAGCTACACCAGCATAACGTGACGCTTTTTATGAGGATTCAAAGATTATAATTGTAGATAATATTTGATGGGATGTTATGTTCAGTTGAATGCTTTTGAGATACTGTATAATACAAATTAGATATCGAGCAACCGTCGTAAAAAAGGACTTACAGCAAAATCTGAAAATAGAAAAAAAGTTGTTGATAAAGTTGTACATGATGAGAACTTAAACATTTGTCGAATATAACCACGCCCGTTTAACTCACAACGAGTGAAAAATGTCCATCGGTAAAAATGTTGTGAGCAACTTCCGTTCCTCGTTGTGAGCACCCATCTTTGACGTGTGACACGATAAACAAGGTGAGTTTTTCATAATTTTTGAAGATTACAGACATTTATGTAAAAATATCGAAATGCAGTTAGCTAACGATGTGTTTTCCGAGTATGCACATGTAAAGATATTGCCTGTTGGTGGACAATTTGATGGAAATACCGTGCGACGCAGTCACTCGGGGTAGCTGGAAAACTGGAGACAACTTCTCTTTGGACCTAATTTAACATTGAAAACGTCGATTCTGGTGACGTTTTGTGCATTCTAACCTATAACAGATGCCCACAAGTCTTCAGCGTAAATTATTATCTGAAAGTCTTCATAGAAACGAAGATATACCCTTTTTTGCTTTAATCCTCGTTGTGAGCACCATAACCTCGTTGTGAGCAAGACAAGCGCAGTGCGTGTTTGGTTTTAATATGTAATTCAGATGGTGAAAATATAATTTTCAATCTACCACAGCAATTAAAACGTTTTTGCACAGCAGCATTTCTTTGCAAGACGTTGTGCATACCCCAAAGGGAGGCATATTAGTTTTGAACTGTCCGTCTGTCCGTCCGTCAATCTGTCCGAAAACTTTAACATTGGCCATAACTTCCTTATTAGTAAACGGATTTGATTCATATTTGAACACAACATCCCTTAGCACCTTCCTACGGACCTGTATTTTTTACCTTGACCCTTGATGGCCTTTACCTTGAAGGTCAAATTGTCAAAAAAATTTAGATTGGCCATAATGTCCTGGCATAATGTTTAGGCACAACACATCTTTGGACAAGACCTTTCAACTATCCTATATTCTTTTGACCTTGACCCCTGAATGACTTCACCTTGAAGGTCAAATTGTCCAAAAAATAAAAAATTGGTCATAACTTCCTTATTAGTATACGGATTCTACTCATATTTTGAAACAACACCCCTTTAGGCAAGACCTTCAAACTGATCTGTATTTTTTTTACCTTGTACCGTGAATGACCTTCTAGAACATCCAACAACTTTAACATTGGTCATAACTTCTTTATAAGTAAGTGGAATTAATTCATATTTGGACACAATGCCCCTTTGGACAAGACCTTCCAACTGACCTATATTTATTAATAATAATCTATCTGGTCCATAAATCAAAGGACAAAGCACCACTTCAGGGGCATTGTCAACTTACCGTGATAGTTCTTGTTTTACATAACTTGGTCAGTCTTCAGCTCAGGATAAACACATGTATGTGTGTATCACACAGATTGTGAAATTGTTGAAATATTCATAAACACCCCGTGATGTTCACTCGTGCCACACTAGAGTATACGAAATAAAATACCTGATTTACCTCCACTGATTAGTTCTTCTGTTATTCTGATGACTTGAGAATAATTTTCAAAAAAAGAAAAAGAACTATTGCAAAGAAAAACTATTGTACAAAAACGTTTTGATTGCTTTTGGTAGATTGAAAATTGTATTCTTGCCATTTGAATTACATATTAAAACCAGACAAGCACTGCGCTTGTCTTGCTCACAACGAGGTTATGGTGCTCACAACAAGGATTAAAGCAAAAAATAGTATATCTTCGTTTCTATGAAGACTTTCAGATAATAATTTACGCTGAAGACTTGTGGGCATCTGTTATAGGTTAGAATGCACAAAACGTCACCAGAATCGACGTTTTCAATGTTAAATTAGGTCCAAAGAGAAGTTGTCTCCAGTTTTCCAGCTACCCCGAGTGACTGCGTCGCACGGTATTTCCATCAAATTGTCCACCAACAGGCAATATCTTTACATGTGCATACTCGGAAAACACATCGCTAGCTAACTGCATTCCGATATTTTTACATTAATGTCTGTAATCTTCAAAAATTATGAAAAACTCACCTTGTTTATCGTGTCACACGTCATAGATGGGTGCTCACAACGAGGAACGGAAGTTGCTCACAACATTTTTACCGATGGACATTTTTCACTCGTTGTGAGTTAAACGGGCGTGATAACGGGAATATAATTATTATTAATGTACATAGTTTATGTGAATATTCTGAATAGTGCTATATTTCCAAGTGTTTAAAGTGTTTATATTTTTAATCTTTTAATCATATAACAGTAACGTCGCTTTTTGTAGTAATGTTTTTAGTACTTCGATAATCACGTTTCATTGCAATGTATCCTGATAGACTGAAACCGGTTGATTCTTGAATAAACCAGTTCACAAACATGAAATATTTGACATGCGTGCTCTCCTTCTGTTTTACTTTCTGCCAAAGTGTTATACGTGGCTGGTTTTGCGTTCACTATAATTGTGAGAAAAAAATTGAAACATAATTATTCTTTTACATTCAGTTCTTTGATATAAAAAAGAAAATATTTTGTAAAAAGAATTCGTAATAAGACACACAAAGATAAAGTCTTTTCTTATCATTTAATATTAGATATTCAATCATTAGATATTAAATACAGGTGTACTTTAAGGTAAATATCTGACCTATGATGTCAATTTTTTAGTTCCTTATAGTGCCCATTAGGGTGGTAATACCTTAAGTGAAAAGTAGCATGACAACTATAACTAAATTCAATAGAGTTGTGCTTGCTTTAGATCAACCATATTGGCCCTTTCATTTAAGACCGGATTCAAGTTGTCGCCCTTGGATGACGTCATTGATATCAAATATAAGTTTTCTAGCTGCAGTTTTGAAAAACGGCTGTGTAATAAGCAATTGCTAGATACTGGTTGACTAAATATTTTTTATTTAAGCATTACCGAAACAAAGAAAATAATATAAATCTATATAATTTCAAAAAAAAAATGTTAAAGCATAAGAGTAACGATTCCTTTCAATGTACATGTATACGCATTCATTTGTGCCGACAAAAAAAAAACACTCTCAAAAAATCGTACATCACTCCAATTGAATGCACTACATATAATATGAATTTCAATGCTGGGAAAGTAATATTTTCAACTTGATATCTTTATTAAATTCATATTCTGCTTACCAAATATTTTTTTCTTAAAATCACAACAGAAATTAAAACAAGTGGTGAAAAACGTATACAAACATTCCTTATTAACTGAATTATAATTTTACATAATTGACTACTAAATTAATGCCAGTTTGTAGTTATTCTGGATCTTAAAATTAGTAAGGCATGACCAAGTCCCTAGGATGATCCATATCCGGAACAGAACAGAACATATCTTTTATTTTCATCCAAGCATTTTTCAATACAATATGGGGACATAACACAATTTTTATATAACAGAGAATGCATAGTTCCGATACGAACAAAAAAGTATATAATCATTTAACAGTACATTGCCAAAGAGGAAAAACACACACACAAAACTTTACTAAATTAGAAAAAAAAATACAAATATCTTTTCTTAACTATGAAATGTAATATCGAGCAGGGGTTTGTTTACTTTAAATCGATATACACCATTAATTTATTATTCTACGTGTAACTACATTTGAAAATAAAATAAAATAAGGAGGTTGTCTATTGTAATATACAACACAATACGCATCTGTATGTATTTATAGCACGATATTAGGTATAAAACATTAGCACAAACATGTAGTAAATCTGCACGTGAAAGTCGTGCATAACAATTATCTACAACTGAAAGGAATGTCATTCATAGATTGATAATGTATTACTACGTGCATCGGGAAAAATCGGAATATGAATCAATGGGACTATGTTGGATAAGACTTTGTCAGTTAAATGTGAGTAATGGCAATATATATATTCACATATAGATAATATGTACTTGTATTCCTAACAATAACAGACATCTGTTTTATGAAAAAATAACTTCATTTGTGAACAAGGAAAATGTTGAGAAAAAAAAATTAAACACGCAATTTAAAGGAAACAAACAGTTTAACAAGTGAGAAATATTAGATGAAATCTTGAATTACTGATGGAGGCATTAGGATTATCGGAAAGTTTTTGTAATAGAATTAATGAATTTCACGAGGCTCCTTAAAACATGTATGTTATTTGACCCTAATAGTGATTTCAGCGAAAGTTCACGTTCGTGTATTAAATTTGCGTTTTGGAAAAAAGCTCTCGAAAAAACTACAATGTAACAAGTAATGGTGCTCGGTGCCAGTTTGATTGTCGCTACACAATGTGCAAAATCTTTTATTATAAGGAGTACCATCGTATCTCCCAACTTCTACTGGAAGTTTATGATTTGATGTTCTAAATTTGAATAAAGAAATATAATCCAATTGCTCTAAAATTTTAAAATATTCTTCATACTTATGATCTTCTTTAAAACTTTTATAATTTAACCCTTTATTTGACTGTTGAAGCTGCGCGTACCAAGACTGTTTATATTGATCTATTAGTATTTGTTTGATAAGTTTATGTATATTCAAGTGATTTATTTGGGTCTGGTTTTGCCAAAGATCAGGTCGGCCAACGGAATTAAGAATGTCTCTTATCTTAGAGATCCATTTAAACTCATGATTAGGAAAGCTGGTCATGTATTTGTAAAGTTGAAACGATATTTTGTTTTCTTTCCCCTTAATGAGACGATTCCAAAATGAGATCATCCTAGTTTTAATTATGATAGATATTGGATACCTTCCAAGTTCGCCGATTAGCATGTATAGGAGGGTCGATTTACGAGATTTGGTTATTTTACGTAGAAATTCATTATGAACTTTTTCTAATATATCTAAATTTTCAAATCCAAATATTTCCGATCCATATGTCAAAATAGGTAAAACAGTGTGGTCAAATACTTTAATAATAAGATCTAGCGGTAAGTCTGAGTTATTTGATTTAGTAAATAGTATATACATTGCCTAAGTTGCTTGTTGGACTACGTGCTTTCTACCTTTAAGGAAGGAACCATTGCTAGAGAATGTCACACCTAAGTAATGGTAAGAGTCGGATATCTCAATATTTTCATCTCCTAGGTAAAATCTAAAATTCCCAGTTTGTCGAGCACCAAAAATTACTATTTTGTTTTGTTTATGTTCACCTTTAAATGCCAATTTTTACAGTAATCATTAAAATTGTTCAAGCAAATTTGGAGATTGTCTGCAGTGTTCGATAACAGAATAGTGTCGTCTGCATAGAGAAGAACAAGAAGTTTAAGCCATAAAGTAAGATCGTTGTGATCGAATAATTCTACCCCAACAGTATCACTATTCTGTAAATAAGTTTGGAGGTCATTTAAGTACATGGAAAATAGGACAGGAGACAAATTTTCACCCTGTCTTACCCCTATTTCGGAAATGAATGACGCCGAGACAGCTCCATTATATGAAATACACGACTTAATGTTTTTGTACATATTATTAATAACCATGAAAAATTTACCATTTATAGAATTTTCGAGCAATTTATGCCAAAGACCCACCCTCCATACTTTATCAAAAGCTTGAGAAAAATCTACAAAAGCACAGAAAAGTTTCAGTTTTTTCTTTTTAAGAATTTCAGTAAGGGAGTATAGTGTGAACATGTGATCAGCGCAAGAATAACCTCTCCTGAAACCAGCTTGATTTTCATGCAGAATATTATTAATTTCTAGATATTTTGTTAACCTGCTGTTTAAAACTGATGTAAACAATTTACCCAAACAGCTTAAAATGGTGATTGGACGATAGTTATTTGGGTCATTTGACGGGCCTTTATTTTTTTTAAATTGGAATTATCATTCCTTCAAGCCACGCTCTTGGGATAAAAGCAGTGTCTAGGACACAATTAAAAATATTTAAATAAATAGGTAAGAATATATCTTTCGTACTTTTAATATACTCATTTCTAATGTTATCGGAGGGACTAGGTGTTTTACCATTATTTAAATTTTGAATACATTTAAGTATTTCTGATTCTGTTTTTTGGGAATTCAAAAATGGTTCTGAGTTTATCGTGTTAAAGTCATATTCTTCAAAAACACTTTCCTCAGGTATTGTGTTTCTATTCAAATTTTCAAAATGATCATAAAATTCAGTTATATTAGGTGTCGTGTTAATTTTAGATTTGGGTTTCAGATTATTAAGAATTTTCAAGTATTTTTTTGGATTTGTTTTCACTTAAATTTCTCAATTTCGTTGCGTTATTTTGTTTTTCCCTTTTTATGTAAAAATCCATTGTTCTTTTATATTGTTTGCTGGCATCGCGCATTCTTGTTTTATTTAAATCCGTACGATTTGATAGAATCGTGATAGTTATTTCGAGCTTTACAGCATTTCGGACCGAACCAAGATTTATTAGTATAGCTATTTCTGTTGGTTGTTATGTACATATTACTTTTATTCGGAAAGGATGCACTTCCCGAGTCATGAAAAATGTTTTGAATTTCGGTCGTTATGTGTTCTATGGTATCCTGGGAGTGAGAATAATCGTGTAAATGAGAATTCAACCAAATTCGGATCATAAATATTTTGACAACTAACAAGAGTGATGTAATGTGATGTAATAGTATAACTCTTAATTATGCACTCCGGTTATTTATGATATCACAGCCAAGACTTTTTTTAGTACCGCTTGTATATCCAACATATGCACCCTGTTGATTAATATGTTACGGCCCAGTGGTGCTTAAATATACATTATTTATAAAATAAGTTACTGTGAAAAGTTTCATAATTATAAGAATAGATGTTTAATATCCAAATTATCTTATTATCGTCTGTCACGTTATAAAAAGCCATTGCCACATGGATTTCGTTTTTTTTTCAGAAATATTTATGAATTATTATTTAGAAGTTATATCCTTCACTGGTTCGTTGAAAGATTTATGGTATAAAGAAAAAAAATCAAAAAGTCTTGACAGAATGCATTCTGCTACTGTTCAAAAGCTTGAAAAACAATCATTAAAGAAACATTGACACTCTTATTTTCTTATTAAAAATAAAATAAAATAAAAGCAAAAAAAAACAACAAAAAAAAAAAACAACAAAAAAAAAACCCGCAGGAATTTTCTAAATGACAGAAAAGCACATAGAAAACAAGAAATTGACCATTTTAATTTACATAAGGTAATTTCATTGTGTATGGGTGTTTATTAAATACTAAAATTGATTTAGTTACTAGCGTTTTGCCATGGAATGAGAGAAAAATAATTAAAATTAAGACTTCTTAAAATATGTGTATTGATACTTTCTGCGAATCATACTATCGAACAAATATATTCACGGTATCTGGCAAAATACTTCATTTATAAACTAAGTACCTGTAATAGCTTACAAATAATAATTAGATTAACATTTAAACCATATTTCAATGACACTCTCTGTGTATATACACACTTTCTATTGGCAATGCCATCTTACATGAATTAAAAACATCCACCTTGTCGTATTTTAAAATGACCTTTTAACTATAGGTCTCCAAGCTATTGCGCTGGCCAATCTGTTGCAACAAAACCTACCAATGTGACAAACGATAGGTCAAAGGTGTTTTAGGAAAATGCGTAACCTCCTACAAAACTACAAAAAAATATAGTAGAAGGCAAAGTTGTATCACAACCTAAAGCGTTCATTTCACGAGCAGATCTGGCTTTCATGTGCCTTACGTAGTCGTAAAATAGATATTCCAAACTGTCTAATTTCCTACGAAACCGGAAAACCTGAAGAGTCTACATACAGAAAGAGCATAATATACTCACCGGAAAACGCCAGTGACACGCACATTTCTTGGGATAGCTAGGGTTATGTGACTTGTATTTTAGAAAAAAAAACGATTTAAATCTTTTGCACTGCCTAATTCAAAATGAAAAAAAAAGATTAATTTTTAGGCCATAGTTGACTCAGTCATAGTTGACTCCATAAAATTGTGCTGTTTACGAATATTCGTAGAGTTGGTAAGGAGTAAAAAATACAATAAAAGCACCGCGAAATGTCAGTTTAACTCTGGTATCTGGCAGCAAAATTTGTAAGGCTAGTATAAAGTGCCTTATATTGCCATCAAATAAGCTTCAAAGCTATTGTACTGACCAACCCGCAACGAACTCGGCCCAATGGGTAGATGTAGACTCCAAACTGTTACACTGAATGCTTTTCACGTTTGGGTCATTATATAAATCTGGAGAAACGGGGTAAGGGAATTATCTGTTAATTTTTAAGTTATTGGTCCAATCCTACATGAAATGATATGCAAACATCGGAAAAATATTATTGCCTAGTCATGTCAAATATTCATTAGAGTCCAATTAATGTTTCTCGTGCACATGTTAACAGATACAAACCCTATTGAAGCAACCATGCAATGATCTGTAAATTACAAGAATGTAACCTTATTTACTGTATTAATGAATATATTGATTTATGATTCTTTTTTAAAGATATTAGCGTAACTATGTGACCTTTTACATCAGAAAAATAAAATCGTGTTCCTAATTATTACGTGCCGTGTACCATCATACTTAATATATATCATTTCTCTTCTTGTTGTTCTTTAAGTAAAGACACAACACGTGCACATATCTCATTTTATACCTTAATTGACCAAGAGATCAATAACCGTTTTACTTGACTTAAATTCATGCCATACCTCGACCTATTTTTTGTACCGGCGTTGATATGCACAAATACAAACGATAACGTGTCACGTTTCATGTCACGTGTCATGTCTTGATGAGTCTCTGTAAACTCTGAAATAATTATGGAATCTAGATACGTCTTGATACATTATTACCAACATGAGCTGGCCATGTATAAAATCACGACCTTCGTCCAGCAAGGCGAATAGCTTTCTAACATTAAAGAATCCAAATCTCCCTAGAGAGAATCTCAAAAGTGAGGGGCGTTTTATTTGAACACAGAGACTTTAACACATCGCATACACAGGCTCTGTACAAAAAAGTTCACAATGTGATGTCGCCCACTACAACCATAACGTAATAAAAAGATTGTTATGTAAGCTGTTACAATTACTTCCAACCTTGATCTATCCATTTTCAGTTTTAGATTCATTTACCGCTTATACTGTATCTATTTTATTAAGTTTATTATATGTCAAAAAAGCTTTTAGCTTTTATTCCTCAAACGCTTTCTTATTTTGGTGTCATTTTATAGTTTCAAAAAAAAGATATTCATTGGCCTTTTACCTGACCAATCCTTTGCTTCCATTATTTTTTAGCAATTAGTACAGTTATGAATTTAATACTTTGTTTGGAAGTCAAAATACTACTTTGTTTACATATAATACCAAATACTAAATCACTTTAACTATTGTAATTGCCAAAACAACAGAAGAAATAGATTGTCTATGCGCAAACTATTTTGAAACTATAAAAGTACTACAAAGATATAAAACTTTTGGAACATTAACATGAAAGCATTATATGATGGGCCTTCAAACAAATAATATAGATTATCTGTTCAGGTAAGATACTTAAGGGTTAGTAACTTGTAAACCCTAATTTAATTAACATATACAAATTAACAAACATAATCTCTAAACTCCATGTCTTTTATAGGACTAGATTTACATAGAGGTTTTTAATACATTGTTTCATACGTTAGACATAAGTTTATTAGTCGCCGATAGAAACCAGCGGCTATATTTGTAACAGTTTAATATTATATCTAAGGTAGAAGAAGGTCTTAAAATAAAAGAAAATAAAAGCTGAAGGCCGCTTTAATTAAGTTGTAAATTTATATTACCATGATTGTGAAATGTTCAATGAGAACAAGCGTCACCCGTGTAACTTGCCTCTCTGCGACAGCCTTAACTACAGGCACCTGTGTTTTCCCAATATCACTTTTCTTTTACCTGCAGAGACTTTCATGATACGAAACAAACATTTTGCGGCGTAAAGGAATTTCACGAGGCACATTGTCAAACATTATCTTGAGAAATGAAATCAAAACCTTCTGGCGCTTTTAAATTATGGAAAAATGTGTTATAGATAATGTGATTACGTTTAGATTATGAAAAGGGTTTAATGTTCAATGTAGATAATTTAAAATAATCTACTTAAAAATCAACTATGAATTTTGACAAAGTGATACTTGTAATTATATTGCATTTTATCGGGTTTGTGTACTGTGAAAAGAAGAAATTATATGTTGGTGTTTTGTTGGAGCTTACAGAACATTGGTATGTAAGGCACACAAACTTTTTCCCGGAAGTATTTAGATACGGATTGGAAGGGGTTGATAACAAATCTGATATTCTTTCCGACTACACAATCGAATTAGTGATAAAAGATACAAAGGTATGAAATGTGAAATCGTTTTGTCTTATATTTTCTTATCTTTTATACAATTTGAAAAATGGAAAATTAGGAAGAGTAAGTCAGGAAAACGATCACTATCCATCCAGTGCCGGCCTTTTTTTTACATTGTTAACATCCTTTGAATACTTAAAGTGACATTATGCCCACCCATGGATATATAATGAGTGAACGATGGCTTTCAAAATAAGTTTATATTTTGCCATAATTCAATTCAGTTTTATAATTTACTTCGCTTAAACGATGAATAACTCATGTGACCCAAGGGAATATTTGTAAATATCCTTGTGAATTAATATGTTACTGTCAGCTTATAAAAAAGTGGGGCAGTCCTTGTACATATTAGGCAGATTTATATTTTATCCTGAATATTTTCCAACATCAATTGCTAGTCAATCACCATTTTAACAGTCAATCTTTTTTTAATGTTTACTCAATTTAGCTCAGCTTGACAAAAATATGAGCATAATGTCAGTTAAAAGGTTAAATTCATCTTTAACAACATAGCATAGATATTGTTAAAAGTAGACTTAAAAGATAAATATATAATAGATTATAATAGATTGATAGATTCATAAATTGTAGTATTTAATGGTATTAGTACGCCTATTTACTCCAAACAAACCTTTTCTTACTTAAGAATGGAATTTTTAATGAAATTTTGCATTCTGGTATTTTGTTTTATCTCCAATATTTTAACTTATATTTAATAGTCTAGATTTATTCATTTACTTACTTATTTATTTATTTATCTTTTTATTTATTTATTAACGATGGTTAAACTAATTAATAAAACTATTTTTTTCTTTCCTAGAACGTTTTAAAGCAGCGTATAAAATGAAAATAAAATTCCGACAAATTTAACTACATTCATGCATAATGATACTATGTAATTTACATTTTCTACCGTTAATAATGTATGCTATCAAAATCACTTTTCATAAAAAAGAAAACCATGGATTTCAAAAATTTGATATCATAAATATAATTAAATATATAATTTGGAACAAGTGCACTCAATGGGTATAAAATGCAACGATGACTGTAGAATAAAATTGCTATAATAGGAACGTTGTTTCAGATTAAAAAGGGAAAAACGAAAACCATTAAAAACGTGCAAAACGGCAAAATTGAAAATGCTCAAACACACATTGATCAAGCCTGTTCAGGGTTGAACGTACTTTTTTAAAGGACAATATATTGCCCCATTCACCCACCAAAATCCACTAACACCGGCTATTGAAGATTTCAAATTCAACATAAAATTGTAAATCATATTAAGTTTTCACAGAAACCTACTATTATTTTTGTCTTCCTACACTAGCCTTGCTTTTTTGTCCTTAAGTGATAAAATAAACCTTATTAAAATTAGTACATTATGAAGCATTTTATTAGTATCTAACATAATAAACGGGATAACATGAGACTTTTGAATATAATAAACATCAAACATTATTTATTCAAACATTTAAATTCATGTGATCCCAGATGTCATATTGCTTAAATGTTGTAACCAAGGAAACTGATTTCAAAGAAATCATGTCTTATTACTAACGTATTTTACTTTTTTTGCTTATAATATTCCTGGGAAACTCCGAAAATAGACCGATAACATAGGAAAGCTTCTAGCAGAGAGTAAACGTCGTTTAGAATATTTTACATGGCTCTTTCATCAGGTTGATATTTAATATGGAAATAAGGTGAAAAAAGCAATAACAAAATTTACAATATTGTTGATTGAAGTGGCATGAAAAACCATTTAGCGAAATAAATATTCTAATGTATCTCATAAAATTAGATGACCTTTTTATTCGGCTGCGGGGCAGCCGAGTCTTAATTGATTTTAAATCAGACTAATGATTTACTGCTAAATTACAAGATATATTTTGCGAGTCATCCATAAATGTTCATTTAAACAATCATTTTCATCAGCTTAAAACTTTGGGACCAACTTTAAATTTCTTGCTTTCTTGCAAATCATTTCTTTTTACATTTTCGTCAGATAGAAAGACAAAGGTTTCATCTCTATGTACCGGCTTGAGCGGAACATAATTCTCAACACTTAATAATGCTGGCATCAATGATCCCGAATGACCAGAAAAACATAACAACACTGAAGTGAAGTACGGGGCAACTTTTTACAGCTGCCGCACAACACTTAAAACACGTTGTCTCCATCTAAAAGGGGCACATTGTTGCATAAGACTAAATGCATACGTGTCAGAGCTGTTTCAATGCATTGTCAAAAAACATCTGTTCATCTATTTACCTTTAGATAATCCCAGAAAACCGGTCTTGAAGAAATTTATTTTTTGTAAGTTTTTTATTTTTTTCAATGGAGATGTTTGAGATCGTGCTTTGCGGACGTACTTTAATAACCGCTTTTTATGTTTTGTTGTTAAGGCATTAAAGTCATCAGGCCCGTTACCAAATTTAACCAACATTAAAAATCACACTTGACGTTGTGACATCGCTTAACTTCACCAGTACATCGTGTGTATTAAAGGATCAAAGGAAACAATGTTAACTTTGTTTTATACTATTGAAAGTATCAAAATAATCATATAGCAAACTACTTTGTCTATTTCTTTGCAATTCAACAGAGAAAACGACTTTGATCCGGTACAACACGCAAAAAACCTAGCAAGATCTCGTTATCGTTAACTTTTGAGTTCTTTATTTTTGAATTGAACATAAGAAATAATTTCCCCATAAAAAACTAAATTACTTCAAAATGATTGAAAAAATCATTTATGTTTATAAATAAATAATAAATACTGGATAAAAATCATATGATTCATTTCTGAATCGTCTGCGCCCTTTAACCACTTATTAAAGAATAATCTCGCAATAAAGCTGTTAACAATTTTGTCAAGATGGCGGCGCAGTGCAAAACCTTCAGAAATGTTTGAAACTTTAAGATAGATATTAATGTTTTATAATCGATTATTAGTTTAATCGTGATACACTAAATTAGTGTTCAAGACTTTATGATAATCCCATACAATCGTGACAAACTGTTTTTACAAAAATAAGACTCGAAGTGCCAGATTCTTGCCACGAACGAGTACTAGTACTGCCGTAATGGACTTTTCGTACCGTAACGCCTCCACTTTAACTTCAGTTTCTGTACAGATCTAAACAGGCATCCGTCAAGCAACCCTTCTCAACGTATGCAGAGCACAGCTGTGGTGTTAAATCATTCTTTGCAGCCATTTTACGCTTGTGTAAAACCTCAATTGTTCATTAAATATGCGAAAAAGAGATCGCTGTATAAAAGGAAATTGAACGTTGCGTTACAAATTTTTCATAGTATTATTGTTATTTTTGTTAAAACATTTTTCACTTCAATAGCATTTCATGACCATAACTGTTTACCAAGTCATCTGATTTCAGGGGAAACCAGGATTAGCTGCCAGACTTCTGACAGAGATGTTACAAGAAGATCCTCCAAAAGTTGCTATTATTGGACCTACACTTTCAAACTCCCTCACTGTGACAGGTCAAATTGTTCCCTTCTACAACATTATAGAGGTAAAATATATGTGCACATGTTACCAAAAGGTCAAAATATTCTTGTTATCCTACAATACGTGTATATATATAATTGTAATGTCTCGAACGTAACACTTTAAAAAAACTGTCTGAGTTTTAAATTCACAAAAAAAGTATTGGCTTCTACACATTAATTCTCTATGATAAAATTTGATAGTTGACTTGGTTTCTAGACACACACTATGTTTAAGCATATTCAGCCTACTTAATCTTTTGAATAGCTTAATTTGATCATACAATAGATTTTTTTCAGCGAAGTATTGTTGCCTTACCAATAATATTTCAAATATTTTACCTGATGCATAAAAAAGTTTCTTGTATTAACTTTGCATTATTTTTTATACGGTGAATGACACAATAGAAATTTTAACCATTTCAGTTGTCTTATATCGCAACAACAGCAACAACCACAGACCGATCTCTTTTCTCAACACTTTTCAAAGTAAATCAAGTGGCAAATACATTAAATCCACTTAGAATAAAGATGATGAAACATTTTGGATGGTCAAGAGTAGGAACCATTGCATACCAAGAGGAGTTTTCTGTTTCGGTCAGTTATTTTTTATCGTTTTATTATACAAATGTACATTTAATAAGGTTATAAAATTTTGCTTTTCTTTCCTATACATATAAATACAGTTGTTTCAATTTCAGCATTTTTCCTGCTAAATCAAAACGTTATCAGGCATCTTTTATACAGATATATATATACTTAAATAACAGGCCGACTTATTTTATTTTTAATCATTACCATAAAAAATTCAGTAAAGTTTATACACAAAATACCCTTTCATCATAATTATATCGAAAAAGATGATTTAATTCCTCGTAAATTTTTTCCACGATATTGAAGTCTCAAAACCGATAAAATCGTTTATTACATTAATGATGTTCGAAAGATTTGAAATTCTTCAAAAGTTGAACAAGGGCACCTTAAATGGGAAAAATACAGAAGATAAAAAAGATATTGAGTACTCGGAATCAAATTGAAAATTGATTTTAGTGCGATTCTTGGGGTTATTGGTAGTAATTGGTCCATAAGTACAGCAAACAGTACAATAATGTCGAAAATCGATTCCTAGGAACGCCATGTCAAAAACATCAGTGGAATCTGTTTTATTTTGGAAAGGTTGCTTGCCTTCTTTTTTATTTCTAATGTTGATGGTACTGATAAGAATACTGTTTTATAAAAAGGCATTGTCATAAATCATACATCACTCCAATTTAATGCACTAATTGAAATAATTCGATTAACAGTTAGTTTCAGCCCACAATTAAACGGCCATGTACTGTAGAACCACACTAACATTGTTAAGATTTAGTGCGTGCTTTGTTATGAATATATTATATATTATATATCCAAACCATGAACAAAAATCAGATGTTCTGCGAGAATGATCATGTTCACTGTACTACTAATAACAGAAATAAAAATAAGGCAAATGTAATTTTTATACAACAGTAATGGTTATCAAGATATAATGATAATATCATTCAGTTATACAAACATGTATCTTCATTAACAAAAGTGTTGTCACATTTCGCACAAAAAGATTCATTTCAATAATCTGATTTCCCTGATGTGCAAACAGAAATAGAGTATTGTGCCGGAAGTAAAATTTTTCTTTTACAAATCCTGTGGTAATAGGAATATAATCATTTGTCATGTACAGCAATGTACTGATGAAGCTCTACGGTTTCCATTTCATAATTGTAAAATATGCAGAAGAATAAAAAAGTTCTTTAAATTTTATGATTTAATGTATATGATATTTTTATGAAAGTTTACACGATTAAACGAATAATGATACTGAGATATATTTCGTAAACACAAAAAATTTGTAAACACTGAAAATTGCTGTAAGTCGCTAATAGACACATGTACACACAGAAATGATATGTTACGTTTTAAACTCTAAACATTATAGGTATAAAAGCACCGAGTCAGTAAAATATTTTGGATGTTAATTGTTTTTAAGAAAAGACCAAATTTACCTGACCAGTGATTGATAATGCAGCTTCCCAAACATGTTCTTGATTTAGATAAATTTCAATAGCTATTTTATCAAAAGATGAACATAATATATCTTAAATGAAACTAAAAAAATACAAATTTTGGTTCATATTACATTCAAAATAATCTTTTTCCATAGACGTACACACATACCCGGGTATATAAGCGAGATTTTGCTTCCATTGATTGTTATTAATAACCATTTTGTAGGAAGTAAATCAGATTATTGAAAAAAGATGACAACATAAAAATCCACATATACCTTTAAAGTGAAAACAAATTTTGCAAACTTCCAATCTATCTGAATATCTATGGAACTAGTGTAAACTCTTTTTACTACCTCATTACCTATTGAACCTGTAAAATATCTATCAATAATGAAAGAAACTAGGTTCTCGTTTTTCAGGTCAAGGAACATTATGCCTGAGAAATCCATATTTATTAAATTCTTTTGAAATGTCAAACATGTGTTCAATAAAGTTTTTCTAATAGATAAAGAGCATGTTAGGATATTTAACAGCTGAGGAAAATAGCGATCAATGTGCTGTAAAATGTCTTTAAAATGTCAAAATATACACAAAATGTTATTTTGACTTCCATACAAAACACTAATTTGCTACATTTATAGCAATTGCTAACAAAGCAAAATGAGCAAAAATAGTAAATCTATATGGCAAATGAGTATTTAACAAAAAAGAAAAAAATATTGTAACAAGATACCAAAAATAAAACTTTTTCGAGAAATAAAAATGATAGCATTTCTGAGGCATAAAGGGCCTTACTATTAATCTTCGTAACCTCTAATTGTTACACGGTTTTTCAACTGACATAAATACACACATAATATTATATATCCGTATATGAATCGAATGTTATTTTTCTTTATTCAATGTCCTATTAAACGTTCTGGTTAAGCGCCTACCTTTTCCTATATTGAAAAGATAATGAAGTAGATAATTTCTACCTTTAGGTCTTAAGGAATTGGCAATAAACTTTCAACAATAATACATATAACGACAACAATAATGACAATGCTTATTCTTGTTTTGTCAAACTTAAAAAATTACAAACGCTTTTTCTTAATTTATCTTTCAATTACAGCAAATTGATGATTTTCATGATCGTCTGCGAGAAAATAACCAGACACTGGTAACATCTGCCGTTATATCAGACACCAGCAATATCGGTGATATCCTGAAAAGATATAAGGTAAGTTGCTGCAATATCGGTGATATATTGAAAAGATATAAGGTGAGTAGCTGGTGACAACCATAATTTCATTTTGTGGAGATGATGTTTTACAGCTGTTTGAGGGTGAGAAATTAATTTTACGAATTATTAATCCGCTTTGAACTACATGTAGTTAAAACATGAAAAAGCCTTGACAAAGTAGGGCAATAAAGTCATACTTTATATCGTTTTCAACGTAGAAATGTTTGTCATTTTCAGGAAATGGTGTCCTTCTGTGAAAACAGACAAGATCACGCTTAATCAGCAATCAACTAGTTAAAACATGCGAAATCCTTGACAAAATAGGACAATAAAGCCATACTTTTATCTTTTTCAAAATGGAAATGTTTGTTATTTTAAGGAAATGGTGTCTTTTACATAACATACAAGATCACGCTGTGTCCTAACCTTACATTGTAAGGTTTCTCTTACGCAATAGTAGTCTTTTATCTATGTTAAGTTCACGAAATGTCAGTGAAGTGACCCAAAAAGACATCGGAAGTTTACCTGAAATATCTTTTTAACCTACTTTCAGACGATATTGGATATTTCATAATGCTAATGTGATCATTTATATTTTCTATTATTTGCTAAATCTAATGTCAAGAAAATGATATTAAAAATATTTTCAAGAAAAATACATCATATTCATAAAATTCAAAAATGCCTACGTGGAAATCATATTGATTTTCTAGAATTCACGAACGCTTACATGAGTATCCAAACGAAATCATCGTTTAAACTAATACGCGGATTAAATTAAGCAGATACTTAATTCCTTACAGATTGAAACTAAAAACAAATTTCACAAATCAATTTTATGATTGTCCAGTTGTCTTATGAAAAAAAACTGAACTATAATGAAATGTAATAAGGCAAACAAGTTTTTTAATAAACCCGTTGCATACATGATGTGTTTAAGTACATAACTTGGTTAATAATATAAATTATCTACACCTTTTGGTTAATATATGATCTATGATTAATACTGAAACTTAGTTTAATACTTGTATATGGAATTATTCCCAACTCTTTTTAATATAAACATATGCAAAGATAGTCAAAGATTACAGATCATGTTCAGGCCAACATATAACATGTTCATGTTTGGATGCATAGCATCACTGATATTTTCTATGTTTTTGTTATGTTTTATTTTTGAAAATTGACATTATTTCTGCTTTTATCTTGAAAACATTAACAATCATTGAGTCACGAAGTACGTCATTTCATGCGTTTTTCTTCCTAGCATCCTTCGCAATTTGTTTTCTTGCATGAGTACATTGTCTAACGAAACCACTTTCGTTAAATAAACGCCTTTTTATAATATCGGTGTATCATTTTAGAAAGACAATTTATACGTTCACAGAGTTGATATTTCGACAATTTTGCCTTTAAATTATTAAAGGGACAATCTTAAATAGTGAGTAAACTGTCGAAGGAAAATTATACAAACTGTTAAAGCATTAAGGCGTTTTTATGTATTTACTTTGTCAAATAAATTATATTTATTTATTTTTTTTAATTTAAGGCTGATTTAATTAAATCATACATTATGTTATTTCGACTTCTACAGCAATTTGGAGTTCGGATCATTATGGCAGCATTCAGAGGAAAAGTTGCACCAAAAATATTTTGCGAGGTGAGTACAAAACCAAACTTCTACAAAACGTTTCTATTGAAGGAAAAGATAAAGATATTCAAGAAAAGGGTACGGAAAAGGCTAACAGGTGGTGTGATTAGGACACCTTCATGCGGATTAAAAGGATTAAATTTTTATACTGTGGAAAAAGGATAAAGCAACGCTTGTGTGAACTAAATATATATTTTATCACATATTGTATCAAATCATGCCAATTTGTCAAAATCGTATTCAGAAAATAGAAATATTATCAAACTTGGAACATATAAACTTCAAACAAAGGCAAACAAAATATGAGAAAATGTCAGAAATATCCAATATGGCCGTTATGCATGTAGATATACTTTTTAATCCTGTTTACTTTTATCAATAACGACGAAATAGTACCCATTGAAATATTTAATTATTAGTTGTTGTCGGTATAGGTCCCTATTTTTGTGATAAATATTATATTAGCGGTAACCTTGTGACAATATTTCTTTCTCATTGTTATTGAAATCGTTAAGATATTTGAATGAATATTTTCAATTTCAATCTCTCAGGCAAAATTTCGTGATATGTCATTTTTACTCCATTTTCTTTTTATTTTTTATGAAACCAAGCGTTCTCGTTAATGTAATTTTTTTTTGTAATCTTTTCTCATATCCGGCACATATCGCGTTAAGCGTGTTTAATGCAGATGTTATGTATCACCAGAAATGACATCATGAAATAATAATAATGTTGCAATTTCTCATTTTTTTGTGTTTGTCTGATTGAAATGGATTATTCCCTTATTTGCTTTACACAAAGATTTTATACAATAGTTTGCACTAGACTTATCATTGTACGATCATTGTATAGGAATAAAGAACGACATATACAATATTCAATAATATTATAAAAACGTAATGTAATGTTTAAATGGTGATATGTAATGATGTATGAGTTTAATCTTGTCGATATCACCTGTCAAATTGATAATTTTAATTAATAGTAGAATTATTTATATTCAATTACTCGTATAAGAAATAGACAAAACTGTGCAAAAAAAGTTAGTTACAAGTGATTCTTAGAATCATGGCATTGTTCTTTATGGATTGATAAAGGTATTTATAATCGATACCAGCCAGGCTCTATACATTAAAGATTACAGAAAATTAATATGTTCTCAAATATTCCTTTAAATTACTATTGTAAAACGAGAATCTTAGCAAGCTTTACTGACCTCGAGACAAATGATTTGTAGTTAAGAAGAATTATTTAAAAAGATGTGGGGTGAGCTGTTTCTATGACGATGCTCTTTACCTTAAAAGCAAGCTTAAAATGTCCAGATATATTTGCTTGAACGCGTTCATTTGGTTTAAGATGTTTTTGTTAGTTCAATCCCACAGTATTTGCTATGATTATTGGAGTTTCAATCAAGACAATTTGTAGAGCCGTGACCTTTTTATTATCTTTTTACATATAGCTACATTAATATTAACCTTGGTTTGATATTTCTGTTCGCTGTATATGGAAGGAATTCCTTAATTGAATAATATAGGTGTTTTTTTGTATTTTATAATATACTCTTGGTCATATAAACATTTCTAGGTAACAACGTATGTGCATGATATGAAGGAAAGTACATTGTTTAATCATCTAAAGTGTACGTTGCGTATAGTGTTTTCAATAATAAAGCTATATTTTACATAGTTAAACATAATGTTATAGAAGAAGTTTTATTTGCACTAAAGACCTATAAAGAGCCATTGACAAAGCATCAATATATATACATACAAAAAAAGAAACATGGCATACGTGACAAAAAGTCGAGATGTGTATTCACGGGAAATTATTCTTTGGTAAATGGGAAAGTAGCTCATACACTTTAAGCTGATTTACTGTGTCATATAAAATAACCAAACCAAAGAGCTTCAGGGAACAATATTAAACGAAGAGTGGTTTCACATGACATCTCGCTTGGGGGAGGCAGAATAATGTAAATATTACAATATGACAAAACATATTAATTTCTATAAAATAATAATATGGTTAACGAGGTTGGATGCTCCTAGATAATATGTTGATATCATTTAAGGAGTTTGCTCTTTCTTCAAAATGGGCACTATCCACAAATGATACATAGTGCTAAATATGATACATTCACCAACACATAAATGCCCCATCGAAAAACGAAAACGAAAATATAGAGCACATGCTGGTGATCTGTACATAACAACGGCATTATAAACAGAAAGATTAGGAATCTCCATCAACAAAACCATTTTTAAAGGTATCTATGACTAGGTTATCATATCAAAGTACTCAATATTATGCATACAACATAAAGCATTTTGTTTGACCAAAAATATTAAAGTAGTCTTATAAAAGATGATGTAGATATATCTATATATATTTTATCGAGTCACCGTTTTCTTTTTAGATGAGTTAACCCTTGACAGGTTAATATCAAAAGCGGATTATAATATATATAATGTAAAGCAATTTATTTTTACAAAACATTTTGTCTTAGTAAGCATTAACCAAGCATTATGCTATAGATATGTCTGCATGTAAAATTGGCAAATCTACAGTGAATCGATCTGTTGCTGACGTTTAATAAAAGCATGATACGTGCAAATACTTAAATTACGAATATCTGTTTCATTTTCTGTATTCATAAGAGCAATAAATTTAAAATTACCAGGGTGATTCCAATAGCATCTCTTGATATATTTTGTACGAAGTTCTTTAAAGATATTACATACAAGTACAAAATGGTATTCATCTTCTAATGTATTACATATATGACAAATTCGTTCATTAAAAGGAACAAATTCTGGTTTTCTCCACCTTCCAGATTGTACAGATTATCTATGAGATGACATGCGTAACCGTGCTAAAGCTATTCTGTACTAACGGATATTTATAACATCTAGATATTTGCTAAAATTAGTGCTCTTGTCGAGTCTTCTAATCTGTTATTTAAATCAATCAGCCATATATATTTTATCCTTTGTTTTACTATCAATAAAATAGTAATCAAATAGTTTATTTTCAACACCTTGGTTGAACCATACATGGTCAAACCCTTGTTTTATTAGAAAGCTCTTAACATTAGTCACCCAGTTAGTTACATTTGGTTCGTTAACTGCATCATTCTTTAACATCAAATAAATATTTCTAATATACTTTGATTCTGGACATGCACATATTTTTAACCAATATTTTATAACACTAAACATTCTGTATGATATCAAACTTTGCCTACCAAGCTCGCCATATACACATATATACATTTCGGGTAGATGCTTTAACACTTAACAATCTTTTACAAAAACTTAAATATGTTCTTTCTACATGTGCGGCTTTATAAAAACCACATACCTCTGGGGAATACATTAAAATTCGCATAATTAACTTATCAAAAAAGTCAAGTGCATGTTTGGGTAATAAATCTGTAAATTTATATAAATACATTGTATTTATTCATTTTGAAAAAAGCTTTTAAAGCCTGTCAAGCTAACAACTGATCATGTTGAATATATGAACCTGAACTACCTGACGTAAATAAAACACCTAAATATTTAAAACGTGATACAATTTCTAATTCCTGATTTTATACAAGAAACGTAAATTCTGAGGTAATCCGCCTGCTTTTCTGAACACCATGACTTTAGTTTTTCTCGTATTTACTGTTAATTTCCATGTATAACAATATTCTAATAAAACGTTGCAATTCATCTGCACTTTTCGCAAAAAGAATAAAATCATCGCCGTATAACAACAAACAGACCTATCTTTATCATTCCAACATCAATACCTTTTATACCTCTATCATTTAAAGTTTACTCCAGATCATTTAAATACATGCTAAAAAGAAAAGGCGAGAGACTTTCACCTTGACGAACGCCTAAATTACAGTAAAACGCATCATTTAACTCATTATTACATTTCAGTTGTGACTTAACATTGCTATACATTGACTTTATAACATTTAATATATTTCCACTTACACCACAAAAGTTTGTACCACAATATATCCCTAACAACAAAATCGAAAGCATTTTGAAAATCTATAAATGTACAGTACAAATATTCCTTATTATTTAAACAATGGTTAATCAACCCATTAAGAACAAAAAACATTATCAGTTGTACCCATAACTTTTCTTAAACCTGCCTGAGCTTCAACATATATAGAATAGTTTTCAGCCCAACTATCCAGTCTGTTGTTCAAAACTCGACTAAGCAATTTGCCAAATGTACTCAGTAATGTAATTCCACGGTAATTTCCTGGTTCATTTATATCACCTTATGGATTGGAACAACAAAACCCTGACTCCATTGCTCAGGAAAATAACCCCTGCTTAAACAACTATTAAATAACACATGAAAGTAACTTTTTAATTGATCAGCACCATTTATAAAAAATTCATTTAAAACATATCTGGTCCACTTGCCGTGTTACACTTTAACTGCTTTATAGCTTTGATAATTTCTGAGATTGTTATTTCTACATCTAGTTCTTCAAACATAACTTGTATTTCGTTATTGAGAATCATATCGTTAAAATATAAAATATCATCACCAGCTTGATAAAAATGGCTATCTGGGTTATTAATTGCGCTAAAATAATTCCCAAATGTATCTACACCTATTTTGGGAGAGCTATTATCACATACAGATTCCTTCCAATAAAGTTTTGCATTTTGAACAATCAACATGACACGATTGTCACCATAAAGAGCAATCCAATAGTATATGCCTTTAGATTGAGGAAACTATCATTTTAAGCTTCTTTCATGTACTGAAGCGCCATTGCTACGTATGTCTTCTACTAATAGATCCTCTCGTATTGACATTACTCATCTATATTCAGGTGTACCATCAAGGTATGTATGGCGATAGCTATGTCTGGATACTGTCTGGGCCAACATTGTTTGATGGTTGGATAGATGATGCTGACATGAACAAAATAGACTGCACTAAGGAAGAGTTAATTGAAGCAACTAATGGACATTTCACTCTTGATCACCTACGAGAAAGTACATCGCAAAAGCCATGTACTTTCGGAGAGGTATTTTTAAAAAAATCATATTGTCATATTGCAAATAGCAAATTGAGACATATTTTAACCTATGTAGTTTATTTTGTCCTAAAACGCCTTTTAATCAAATGGTTTATCCAGTGACATATTGTTGGATCATAAAATTGTACATATTTAACAACCTATGCTTAATAATAAAAACAGACGCATTTGATAAAGTCTCATTAAATTTAATTTAATTACAGCGCTATATATCAAGGAGCTAGATTATGATCAGGCAACAAATTTGACAACAGTTTACCTTAAAATGTTGATGAAAACCTACCTTGGTTTCTACATATGTAAATAATTTACTTTTACATTCAGACCCCAAAAGAGATAATGAATAAATTGCAAGATCTTGTGAAAGTTACTAATTACGAAATGTCAACATTTATAAGTTGGATCTATGACACACCTTGGGCGCTCGCACTAGGTACGTTTTAATTCTAAATCAATTGTTATTAAATGTCGTAATTACGAATATGCTTATTTTCTTTATTTGATCATAGTGAAGCATTTGTGTTAAGGTTTTTAACGTTTCTGCCTGCTAGTTTCGCCATTAGCTTTAATGTTGAAGTATTTAGCAATGATAACGAACTTTAATCAGCTTATTTCCATTTAATAATTGAAGCATGTTTCAAATAAGAAGGCTTTTTTGGATTTCTTTAATTGTTTTATTATTTAGACAATTCATTAGGTTCTGAATTTCCTATTTATTTGAAACACTACAATGGGCGTCCGTGGCTGAGCAAAGTCGTTGCCTTCAACCCACTTGCACCTTAACGTTTTGGATTCTTTAATTTGATGAAGCTTTCCAGCTGGCTAACGTTACGCTAACTTCTATTCAAATGATATAACGGTCACGTTTACGTAGGATTACAGCTAGCTAACGAAACGGAACGACGTTAGGATCTTTTCCAATTATATAACGATCACTTTTATGATTTACGTAGGATTAAACAACAGTATAAAGTATTTGGCTGAATCAGGACTACAGCTTCACAACTATAATTACAGTTCTCAATACATAGACGCTGTTATCCATGGGATGAAGGAAGTTCGCTTTGATGGTGTTTCGGTGAATATGCATTTATTTGAAAGAAATAAGCAAATTGATTATAATTAAGTATTTTTACACACCATATTACAGGCAAATATTTTCTGAGTTCAATGGTACTTATTTTTCCAATGTAGCTTATGTACTTTTCCCAATATGCGTGCATAAATTATGACATATATTTTCATCAAAATATTGTCGTACAGAAAAGTTTCTGCAAGCATGACGGGAAGAGTAAAAAAGCTACAATGCTAGTTATCTGAATGAATTTTTAAGATATCGTCATATGGCCATTGAAAATTCATTCTCCACTATAACAAAAAGTGCCTCATTTCTTTCCGTTTCCGAAGTAAGTTTCATATGTGATATGCAAGAAAAAAGTTAAATACTAGCTGCTTTCACAGACGTTTTATTGATGTTATATCGTTTAATACGAAATTAGCGCACTTTGAGGAAAGTATCGTATCGAAAACAAACAATTTCGTTATTACAATTTTCTGGAATTATGTTTGGTATTACTATTTTTTAGTTAATATGTTTTATTGTGATATTGATTTTTTTGTATCATTTTCTTAACAAAACACATATAATTTAATAACTCATAATAATTTGATAAAAGATCATGTTTACTAGTTAGTATTGCCTTTCTCCTTACATTAAATGTACATGAAACTAATAATCTTTTATAAAAAAACTCATAAAATTATACTATATACATTAATGTTACTGATGTACTATTATGTTTAAGGGACCTGTGGCCTTTGATGAGACTGGTAGTCGAGTAGGTGTCAATTTCATTCAACAGAACTTTTGTAAGTACATATATTGTCAACCAATTTCAAGTTTTCAAGTAACATTAAGAAATTTACCTATAAGTAAATGTAAATTGTTTTGTTCTTGTCAATCAAACCTTGAAATAAGCTTGTACATATACGTTCAGATATATCACATGAACTTATTTGTTTAATGATACTGCGTTGTACATATTTTAATTTCAGAAATTATAAAGAGAGTATAAAGGAGTTAGTAAATTGAATACGAATACGAGGTTAATTTGGCATAAAAATACATTTGTAACCAAATATATACATTTAAATATAACACATTCAAAGAGATATAGAAACATTTACTGGAAAGTTAAAATATTAATCCCAACTTTACGTAGTGAGTGAACAGGTGAAACTCAAAATAAGTTTACATTTTGCCATAACTCCTTTCTTTCGTCTTTCTTTTTATACTTTACATCGCATGAACAATAAATAACTGACTGGACCAAAGGAGATTTCTATAAAATATACATCTGAATAAACTTGTAACACTCGATTGAGAAAAAAGAGTGATGCAGTCTTTTTATATGTTAGGCAGCTTTATATTTCATTCGAAGCATTTTTCAATATCAAATGTTTCCAAATTATTATTATTAAAAAAAGTCAATTCCTTTGAATATATAGTAATTTCAGCTAAAGTTGACAATGACAATATGACCATAATGTCATTTTAATGAAACAATACTTCATGACAAAACGTGTTTCAGCTATAAAAAACTAATTTTTGTACAATTCTCTACTTTTATTGTTCTTTAATTAACTATGAAACCGTTAAATGGCTACCATTTAAATCGTATTAGATTGAGAAGGTTCGCTTTCATTCTTTTGATACTAAAGTTTATATAGTATATATATATATAAGCGTATATATAAGCGTTTTTAAGACTATTTTGTGAAAGTGTACGCCAGGTGAGAAAAGCCAACATCTGCCGAATTCTGCTTAATATTTATTTAGGCATCTAATCAAATTTGTCCAAACAAAAGAAAATCCGGTAATCAAACTTAAACATCACAGTTGCTTCAAATTGAGACCACTCTCCAACATATATTGAATTTTGTGGGTACTTTCAGCCATAAAATTTGTGTAAATGAAAAGAAAAACATAAGGAGCAAGTTAAAGTTATTTTCGATATTTTAAATGTCTAGTGAACTATTTATCCACATAGATATATTCAGTATTTTTGAAAAGCAACATTTGGCGTATATAATTTATCATGTCAATATATGAAAATACTTAAAATTGTTTAAACTAAAGCATTCACAAACATGGATAAATATAAACTTTGATAATGTACATATCGATATTGCAAAACCATTTTATAACTTTTTTTTGTTAAATTACTTGTTTAGATAAGGAAACGCGTAATGTTGCCAGCCTTGACGGCACAACAGGTCAGCTGACGTGGCTTGTAGATAGTTCCTCTCTCTGGTCAGGTGAATATTTTCTTCTCTTTATACGTATTAAATAATACTAAAAAGAAACATACATTATAGGTTGGAAAACATCTACTTATCAATCAATATCTGAAAAAATGTGATCCCCCAGAAACATTAAAAACAGCAATATTACATGAAAATTGGTTTGATTGAGTCCGTACATGAGGGATGATGAAAAAGGGAAAAACATCCCTCACGCCCCCTAGCACCGGCTTAAGCGGTGCTCAATTTGAAACATTGAAAACTGCTGGACTCAATGATCCCGAATGTAAATCAGAATGGAGATTAATTTATAATATACGCATTTGTAATTCACGTTTTATTCAATCAATCAAATCAAGTATCTTGACTCTGTTTATAATACAAACTTATCTTTATAAAGGTAACGAGATTCCAAAGGACAGATTTATTTATCAAGATGTATTAGTACCACCTAGCAAGATAGCCTTTGGTCTGATAGTTGCCTTGGATTTGGTTGGATGCTTGTTATCAATGACATTCTTATTTTTCAACATCTACTTCAGAAACAACAGGTACGTATCTCTTTTGTCTTTTGACTACAACATGTACAACGAACGATTTTGTCACAAATACACCTCGAATCTAATTAAAATTTGTATTTTCTATGATGCGGCAGGAAAAAATATGTGTCAATTTTTTTACAAGTGGCTAATTAGTATACATGCCATGTATATGTTCAAACAAAATGATTATGACAATGTTCAAACATAGTGATTATGACATAAATTGAAATATTGGCACGATATGAACATTATCACGTAAAATGAATATAACAACATTGCGACGTCAAAATAATATATATATACATTGAAATATTGAATGTTATCATGTAACGATTAAATTACTGTCGCACCATCAACATGACATGTATATGTTAATACGACATGAACATAACACTAATTAAAACAAATTATACCACGACATTGACACAACATGTATGTGATCAGTGCAAATTGAGGCCCAATTTTAGTGTTATAATAAACTAATTTCTTCCTGGAAGTAACAATGACGATTTGCATAGCCAATGATTTTTTCTAAACATTCTCAAATGTTTACTTTCAAAAACCAGATATAGGTTTATTAATTGTGTTAGAACGCTCTGTAAGTGCATATCAATATGGATATGAAGTTTGATTCCATAATTTTGTGTAGATACTATGAAAAAAGTCTGCTTATTTTCTTGATATTTTTGGTTAATAGCTTCGTATAACCAATAGTGCAGCTGCAAAATGAATGTTGGATACATGAATTCGTGAGGTTGAAATCGTGAACTCGTGAAGTTGAGATGCTAAAATATTGAATTCATGAAGTTGAAATCTTGAATTTTTGAAGTTGAAATCGTGAAGTATAAAACGTTAATTTGCGAATTTAATTCTTAAAGTTGAAATCTTGATTTTATGAAGCTGAGAACTTGAATACAGGAAGTTAACATTGTAAATTCACGAAGATGAAATTAGAAATTCTTGAAGTAAAAATGTCCCCACCAGTCTTACGTAAATTTCATATCTAAACGCTCTCGCAAAAGAGTTTTCCATAAATTTGTAAAAGGTGCTTGCAACTGTTTCTCTCAGATTTTGTAAATAATCTGCTTTTAATATAGCATAGGTTCTATAATGCTGTTCCCCTTATAAGTGATTTTAATTTAGTAATTCGTCTTTTGAAAGTTTATAATTGTTCTAGTGATAAAGTTATATGAAAATGTCAAAACAATTAGCAATCACTAGGGTATTTTAACGAATCAATAGGTAACATCTATAATAGGATTCTTTTCGAACCAACTAGTTAAGACGAATATTATCCGTATATTTCTATGAAAAATATGCACAAAACCACGCTCGTGCTATATATTTATCTATGAGGATCATTTTATAATGTTAATTGATAATTTATTGATTTCTTTTTCTCCTTGTAGACAATAATAACTGTGTGTAAATTGTACATTTTTAAAACAAGTTTTTGTAATATCTAGTGCAATTAAAATGCTAACAACCCTGATTTTCAGACGAATAAATATATCATTTATCTTATTTGTCTTTGTTAAATATTGCTTGTCACAATTTAGAATAAAAACGATAAGAAAATGTCAATTTGTTCAAATGGAAAAGCAATAAACTTCAATAAAAATCAATTTCAATTAAATGTAATTTCAATTAAATGCATTATCAATTAAATGCTGCTTTCAATTTAATATGTAACACTTTGACCATTTAGCTTCTAGCACTATTACTGCATTATTATAGTGTATTTGTCTTGAACATTTTTATGATACCATTAAATCAGTTGATTCTCATTGTCACTTCATGCATATTCAATAGGAAAATCTATTCTTGTTATTAAGTAATGAAAGTTGAAGAACGAAAGCCATACCAATACATCAGTCCAAATTAAGATATGAAATACCATAAAATCAATACATTATAATTATGAAATATTTCATAATGACAGTAAAGGGTATACGCGTTGCCTTGACAAAAAAGATGGTAAGATATGAGTAGGACGTGTACATATGTTTTGTTTGCTAGGAATGGAGAAAACTGCACCAAAACTGACATATTCTATGCTCAAATTTGTTATTAGAAAATATTGATAATTGCTAAACAGTCTCAATGTAAACATAAAATAAACATGCCACTGACTTTACACAAATCAGATATGTTATATTTGAAATTCTAGACACTATAGGTGGTAACAATAAAATATATAGTATGATTATAAAGACTCGTAGTTTTTTGTTGTTAAAAACCAACTTTTCTTAACCTGAAATAGGGAACGCAGCTTTCCATACATAGTTTATTCATTTTTTTTATTCAAATTTAACATATTCAGTTAGAATTTCATAGACTTCAATACATTTCTGTGACTAGAATATTTTACTTAAGGATTAGCATAGTATATCTCTAATATCATTATTTTATAACAACGTAAACTGATATTAACGGTATTTTTCTTGATTAAATTCAAAGGAAATCCAGTTACAATTTAGTTCAAAGTCTTCGCACAAAAGTGTTGTAAAGAAGCCGTTCGGTGACATTCCTTTACCAAATTTAACTTTTTGTCAAAATGTCATGTTTCAATTGTTTGATACATATATGATAAAATAAAGCAATAAAAAACAAAAACTACGTTTATTTTTAGAGACAGAGAAGAAAAGAAAGCAAGTCGGTGAATTATTGATTGAAAGATACTAGTTTTAGACTTTTTTTTACTACAATTGTTTTTCTTTATGATTTTTATTCTCTAGCTGTTGCATAAATCTTTGTATTCTTTTCAATCATATTAATATAAAAATGTCTTTAAAATTAATGAATATATAATTAACATTTTAGATCAATTAAAATGTCTAGTCCAATGGTGAACAATGTTATAATTGCCGGATGCCTGTTGATGTATTTGGAAATTCTTGTAAATGCAATAGACTACTTTAGAAACAAGAACGACGTGTTCGGCGACAGCATGTGTATGGTAAGGTTGATTTCAATCCTTCAAATTTTAACAACATCTTTTTCCTGATTTAGAATATAGCTATGTTAAGACATTACTTTAGATTCGAGCTTCTTGGATACACGGCAAAACTTAATACATGTAGCGTAGAATAGTAAAGCACTCTTTTCTACGGTAAAATAGAAATATGAACAACATTCGATTTTCTTACCTTAATCATACCAACAGTTTGAAGCGCCACCATATTTTCTTTTATGCTGTGTCTGTTTTGTGCAATGCAATATTTATCTTCAAGTGAAATGAGATTTTGCAAAATGTTTCGCAAAGAAACTACAGCGTATGAAACTTAATATAATCAATGATGCTTTTGTACATTTTGTGCATGATATAACATTGATTTATCTGCGGATTGAGCAATTAATTTATCAACTGACATTTTATTCTTATTCTATAATAACAAAACATACATGTATTATAAATTTCATTAGCATTAAGTGGTGCATAACAAACTTATAGCTATACAAACAATTACATTGCTTTTTACCAAACTTGACAAACACAGCATTTTACAATTATACAATTGTAAAATACATTAAAAGTTGTGTAATTTCTAATTAAATGAATATACATGTATATTTGATTTGACCTATTTTAAAAAAGCACGGCAAATGAAATTTACTGTATTTTTTAATGATTCAACTGTTTAAGATATTGAATAATAATGTAAAGTTAAAGTTCAGAGAAAAAGTAATATTTTATATGAATATTTTTTTACTAAATTAAGAGATTTAGTTACAAATCTTCAAGATGACAGAAAAAAGTCAATGTATGATGTATCTGTTACAAAATAGCGTTTGTTTTATCATTTATTGCAGGTCAGGACATGGCTTTTATCCTTGGGATTCACATCAATTTTTGGAGCACTTTTCTCGAAAACTTACCGTGTTTATGTAGTTTTCCGAGATTACAAATTGCGTGGGAAGGTATAGACATTATTTTGTAAATCTGATGGCGTATTTTATGCAAAATATACTTGCACAATTCAGTAATGTTCATGAAATAAATGAAATAACCACCATTTCTACTTAACAGTTAATGAACACTTTGAATGAGAGAAAAAATGAGTAAAAAGTTAAAAAGTAAAGCCATAATGCACGATGAACCATTTTTACCGGAACTAAATAATATGTGACACTTTTTTAACCTTTAAATCTATATCTACAAATACCAGACATTAGTGTTTACAAAATTGCACACTCAACTGTTCAATTAATGCATTTTAGGATCGATGATTGAATTTCTTATTTAAATATCTACCAATGTAATTCAAATGGTTCCGGTCCATTGCATATTTGGGTTAGTCACAAAAGCCAAAATATATTCCAAAGTGCAATCTCTAAAAATATTTCACAACGAGTTAAGCTTCAGAAATCCCTCTAGTACCTCTAAATCATATCCTTAGAGGAAAATTTAGACCCCCATCTCATTGGCCACATGATTTTACATATAATACTATTGGCTTCTTGTTTGTTTTTATGTTCATTTGAAAAGAAAAAGAATTATCAACTAAGTGTTTAAAAAACATTATTATATGGAACATGTTTGCAAACTTTGATGAGTTAAAACAGTTTCAGTTTTTCCAAACTGAAGCTGGACGCAAAGCGAAAATACGATAATATGACAAAGTTACTATTTTGTCACATTTACGTGCTTTCGCCTTTTTTGTTTTGCTGGACGTCAGACGAAAACACGTAAATACGATAAAGACAATACTTAGTCGTATTTCAGTCCCGCCGAGCGGCATGCGAAAACACGACAATATCAACAATTTGTCGTATCCTTGCATCTTTGCCTGGTGCCCCGCCGAGCGAAAGTACAACAAAAATCGTAACTTTCGTGATTTCGTTTTTAGCGGAGTAAAAATACAACATGTCACAAATCAGCAACCATACTGATCAGACGATACTTGTATTCCTGATTTGATCGTTGACAATAAAGAATCACGGTTTTTTGTTTCATTATAATGAATTTAGCCTTTTCTTGGCAAGCATAGTTATTTATAAACAAATTCTTGAAATAATAGCCCTGTAACTATTTCCATCACAAATCTTGTGGTGATCAGAAATAGACGTAATTAACAGACAGATTTCAAAAGAGACTACGATTTTTGAAAACAACGGACATTTTTCCTTGGCGAACTTCGTTGAATGAGCTAAATTAGAAACAGAGACTTTCTCTTGTAATGATTGACTTAACGGTTTATTTAATATGACATTAAACTCAATCATCAACGGTTACCTTTTTATCTCCCTTATTATTAATACATTATATTTGAAAGATACATTGTTTATTCTTTTCTTTAATTAGAAGATGAAATGTATACTAATTGAGGAAGCGAAAACAGCGTAGCTTTGAAATCTGTTGAAAATGTCAATTCCTAATGGAGGCTACCTGTGGTTTTTAGTATTATCAAAACATGTTAATTATTTCTGTTGCCTTTTAAAGATTTTGTTTTGCTACAATGATTCAGATACTTTCACATGACATTGGCAGAATAAAACTGAGTTTTTTTTTATCAGAACTGTTGCATTTTTTTCAACCGTCTGCTTTATTAATTTACCTGACATGTGATTTACCTTTACAAAAAAGGTTGACAGTATCACACACTTGTCTAAATGGTTTCAACAAGGATGGCAGACGTATATGTAACATATCTTATAACAGAAAATAAAGCAATCATAAAAATCACTTAAATAATTATGATGTTTTATCTTGCATTTGCAAGCCTTTAATTGCTATCATCTGATACAAGTAATACATTAATCGGTCAAAAACAGTTAGAAAAAAATCAGATTGTAATCATATTGTATAAAAGGGTAGACTGGTTTATTACCCTTCCAGATTTTCCCTTTTTTGCTTGGATATTGATCTGCCAAAAGAAAGTGATATTATCGAGCCAGACGGGTAATATACACACTAAATTTCCCCGTTGGGTACCCTACGATGTAAACAACATGCACTTTGACGATGCGCGTACGGTTCGATATTGCGCAGTGTAAATTCCGATATTCAAGCCAAATAAAAGATATTAACCAAAATGGAGTAGATCTAATGATAAATATTCTCATCAGCATTTAAAACACATACGAACTCGTCAAAGCTTGATTTTAATTACAAAAAAGTGGATTAAACAGACTTGTCATTTTCTCTTGTTTTCATTCGTTAGGTTACGGTGACGTCATTTTGCGATGAAGGGGTACCCTAAAGTGAATCTTGTTCGACATTTCATTTGAAACAGCAATGATTTATTCTAAATCGTCTTACTCGGCAGGGAAAGGGTAATACAATTATTATTTGGGTTTTCGAGTGATATATGTGCATATATAACATGCCTACATAAAATATCATCCTCGCCTAACGACTCGCTGATATAAAATCTTGGCAGGTAATATATCCACTTATATCACTCCAAAACCCGAATAACATTAAATATCATTTGAAATAAAAAAAATTGACAAGTCATATGGCCCTATATAACTGGTTGTTTTGAAATATTACCCGAGCCGCAAGCCATACAATCTTTCAGGAATACTTGTCACTAGTATTTTAAAACAGGAAACTACTATTTTTTAGAGAAAATGTGAGATTTTTTTATCAATTGACAGCAGCCGTGTATATAAAACTATACATAAACGTCACGATTATCCAATGAAAAGCAACGTTACAAATATGCAGTATTGTAGTATTTCATGATACATTATGTTTCATTTTTATAGGCAATCAAAGACTACCATCTTTTTGGAATGATTGGAACCATGCTTGTTGTTGATCTGTTGATTTTGATTCCCTGGACAACGTTTTTTCCTCTTGTCAAAGCAAAAGTATTAAAGAATGCTATGGTAAGGTCATATGTCATTTTGGCGGAAACAGAAATGTACTAATTTTAAAAGTATGAAATATATCCCGTATTTGACTTGCTTTTGTTTGTAAATAAATGTAGTAAATGTAATAAATGTCGCTTTATAAGCAGAATGATCTGTATGAAACTGATAGCTTTATTAATGTAAAGATTACTTAAATTATGTTTAAGGCACATTATGCCTCCGAAATCCATATTAAAGAAATGTCAAACATGTATTTAATAATGTTTAAATAATTGATTGAGAGCAAATTAAATGTATAATAGCTGCTGAATGTATGATAATGTGATGTAAAGGTAGCAAAATGTAAACAGAGTATTATCTTGACCTTCATACAAAATACTAATTCACTATAATTATACAAATTGCCAACAGAGCAAAATCAGCAAAAATAGTTCATCTATATCGCAAATGATTTTTTTTTTTTGAAACCGTAACAAAATATTAAAAGATTTAAATTTTTGTGAAATAAAAAGGATAGCATTTTTGAGCCATACTGGGCCTTTAATATACATTCAATTTGGTTAAATTTATTGTCAATGCTTTTTATGTAGGATGTTCGTAACAACAACATGATATATTCGGAGAGCTACCTTCATTGTTACAACGTAACCACGGCTTATTGGATGGCCGCTTTATATGTCTATAAAGGGCTTCTTCTAGCTTTTGGAACGTTCTTAGCATGGGAAACTCGTCAAGTCACCATTCCTGTTCTGAATGACTCCAAGTTTATAGGCGCTTGTATTTATAACGTTGTCATTGCGTGTGTATTCGGGGTACCCCTGGCGCATGTTCTCCCAATAGAACAAAAGACATTGTCGTTTGTGTTGGAGTCATGCTTACTTTTCTTCTGCACAACAAGTACTCAGTGTATCATTTTCATACCTAAGGTATAGTTTTTTTAATTTTGACTTAAGGTAACATGTATGAATTCTAGGCTTAATGAGAGTCATCCGCCCTTTCAAGCCTCTCATTGAGAGTACGGACCCCGGGCATGTCACCATTTTGACTTTGGCTGGACAGTTACTTGTTTATTACCCAGATTAAAGTCTTGGAACTAATCAGTATGGGTGTCATAGCAAGACAGGGTCGTGACCCGAGTAGGTCTCAAACTCTTGATCTCTAAGTTGACAAACAGAAACCTTAAGCACTAGACAATTGCTCCACTGGAATGTTTTATTTTTATTTACGATGCCTTTTATTTGGTTAGATTTTTTTTTAGAAACACTATCAGTGTTTTTTTTAAGTTGTCCAGAAATTTGAATTGTTATAGTATTTTAAAAGTAAATGTTTTAAGTAAGATTTTAAAAATTTTTGCAGAATTTTAATTGAAAAACAACTGATAAATTTGCCTATTACTTATGTTTTTTTTAAAATTTTGTTAAAAAATTTTATCTGTCAATAAAACCCTTTTTTTGTTACTTTTAACGACTGATTTCAGGAATGTTTTTAGTTTTACTTTTTTTTTAGAAAAAACTTCGGAAACCCAAGTTACGGAAATTTTTTAAAAAACATCTCGTCCCCAAAGGAAACCGGTTCTAAATAAGACAAAACAGGTTTTAAAAAATTTTAATTTAAAAATTAAAAGGGTTTGTTTTAAATTAGTTTCTTCCCCATTGTTCATCATATATTTATACTTCTGATTGAAATTAAATGAAATTTTGTAATCTTTTTTATGTTTACATTACGTATCATTTAAAAAAGAAAATTAATTATACTTGTTTAAATTATTTAACTAGGTAATAGTAAAACATGCAAATATATGTTAAACAAAATACATAAAGCATGGGGACCATAGAATTCTGCTGAAATTCGATACCTATATTAGCAAGGTAAATTTTGCTCAAATGGATCATAGTGCATAGGAAAACTGAAATATGTCTTTGTTAAAAATGGGTAACAGTTTATATAAATATTCAGATTTCCTTTTACATTTGAGAAATTAAGATTGAACTTTTATAACGAAATACTCACTATCTGAAAATTGCACATCTAACAGGAAGTCCAAAGGCATACAACATTTAATTTGAATTTCTTTCATATATAAGCAGGAACACTTAAACATAATTATGTTAAAAACGAATAAGAAATATATTAAGAAATAAATTGAAAAGTGCTTTCATTTAATTGTCTTTCAGGTATCAATCCGGAGATATATGATTATAATTGTGACGATAATAAAACCACTGCCGAGCTGAAGGATGAAAACGCCAAGCTGCGACGGGAAATTGCTAATGTATTAATTACTTTTCATTCATCTTTTGTTTTTCTTACGTGTACGCGCGCATTTTTCTTTCTGTCTTTCTTTCTTTTATTATTGTTTTTTGTGTGTTTTTTCTATTTGTTTATTTTGATTTTTGTTTGTTTGTTTGTGTGTTGTTTTTTTTTTTTTTGGGGGGGATGGGGTGGTGTTCATACTTAAATAAGGTTTACATTTGAAGGTGCATAAAATTTGACAGGACAATGCATATGATTTTCAGAAGCTCATATATTTGTAACACTTTGAAAAGAAAATGTAATATTTATGCATTTGCATTTGAATTAAAAAAAATACTTATGTACATTTATTGATACATTTAACCTTTATTTTATTCCTTTAAGTTGTCACACACGTACTCCGATTAAAAATATAATATTAATTTGTGCGCGGATATTTCTCTATTGATAAAAATATAAATATTTGTAGGTTTGTAATAAGACATTTTGTTAACGAAGTTCTTATTAGCGTGTAGTGGCTAAACTGTAATTAATAAATTCATGAATAAATGTCTACACCATACAACAGTGATAGCCTAGCAATACATGGAAAAATGTAGATAGTTATATCTTGTTTGTACACTCACATACCATGAAAATCTTTATGTTTCTTTTCATTTCATTCAGCCAAACATAAATTATTTATTATCGTATCATTAATGTTATAATAAATAACAAAAACTTGATATGAGTAGCAATGACACACTGAATATTTATTTCAATACACACACATACATCGACGACATGTATATAAAAAATAAATACTTACAATGATTTAAGTATATATGTGTCCCGGCCTGCTCTTAACATTTAATTATGTGAAAAAAATAAATGTAAAATCCCGTGTCGACGATTCATTCACTCCAATTCAAATAATTATACACATCTGTGGTTCCGTGAATCACTATCCATTCCACTTGAATACATCGTCTAAACACAAATAATAAAAAAAGTCAATAAACCTTCTCATTCAGAACCGCTTCACTCATACTTCTTATCCATGATATTTGTTAAAACAATAACAAAATTAATTGTCAACTCTAAACAATACAAAGCAAAATATATAGATATTCTATATACCCCTCAATTTCTATACAAATTTTCAACCGGTTCAAATCAAAATCATTCGGTCGTTCCACAGTACACCTGTACTAAATCTGCCGAAAATTAAAAAATCAAACTGTTTATGTTAGTTCAAAACATAAGCATCACTGTACTTTTAAATATTTGATATCTATATTTCAGGAGTCCATAGCCATAGCAAGATTAAGAAAATCGATTCTTAACATGACGGGAAATGTACACTTCTATAAGAAAGGAACAGATTATGTTCTCTTCAAAAGTTCTGGTCCAAAATTGGTGGGAAACATGTGTCTCAACAGCGTTCCAGACCATTCCGTTTAAAAGTGTAGCTTATTATTTTAATAACTTGCACACTACTTAGTTAATATCTAAACTGGCAATTGAAACAATAATTGTGTTATTACAAGATTTCTTTTTCTAAAAAAATAACTTAGAACTGGATATTTTATATATGAATTTTTATCGAAATATATCATATGGCAACATCAAACAAAACTAAGTTGACACAATGGTTTAGTACCATTTGAACACTTATATCATCTCTGGTAAAATGTTTACAAGTCTTAAGTTTACGGCATAAAACGTGGAGGTTTTTCATAAATTTGTATTTTTTCCCTTTTAAATTTTTAAGATTAATATTGTGGGAATGAAATTTAAAAATAAATTTAAAATCTTATTTTCCCCGAACAACCTTTTTAGACTTTACATAAGTATATCATCTTTATACATTAACATCAATGATAAACATTTTGCTAAATGTAATAGCATTGAATTTATTTCTATCTGAATCATAAATTTGGAAAAATCATTTTACATGAAAGAAGCAAGATATGTTTGTTTGTTTGTTTGTCTCATTTTACGCCTTTTCCCAACAGTATTTCAGTCATATAGGCGGGTAGTTTCCTAACCATCGTTCCTGGAGAGTTAAACCAGGACAAGACTACCTTCCTCCGCGCTAAACGAGCAAGATATGACATGTAAAAAATAACATGAGTTTTTGAGTTGATAAATTAATGTCCTGATCTTGTCTTGTTGTCATTGCTTGTTGCTTGTTGCTCTTACGGCACGCTTTCTTATTTTTTTTTGGAAAAGTGGTGCAATCTTTTTATTTTTGAAGAGTTGTCTGAAATTACCAAACATAAATGTATAAGAAATGTGTTAATTTGACACTTGAATAGTAGTAAACTTTTCAGTAAAATTTAGACAAAAGATATTTCGAAATTACTTATTTATTGTAAAATTCTAAGCCGTTTTTATGTAAAAACGTTTTTATTCGACTTGAAATGTCAGGTCAATTTAAGGGGTCTAAGTGTCTTAGGGGTTTTAGTGTCATGGTTCGAGATGTATTTGGTGACGGGATGTCTAGGGGACGAGGTGTGAAAGGGTCGAGAAGTCAGAATCTTTTCACACTTACTTCTGATATGTTTGTACAATCATCAGATTTTCCCCTGTACCAACAATCGTTGATCCTGTTGACCACAACGTCAATGTGTACCTTTATACATCAGAACTCTTTTGGAACGGCTCATATGCGACAGTTTATTTCTGAGCTACGATCTATGGATTTTAGTCTAAGTCAGATTTGTTCAATATAAGTAACGTTTGACGCTTGAAATCAGTTTGCAAGAAACAGCGGGTCTTATAAGATATTGCAAAGAAAAGACTGTGGAAACCAATAAATGACAAAACGACCTTTGGGGGCATTGGTATAAACTATATTGTAGAAAGCTTACCAAATCATTAAAGGAATGGTTAAAACACAAGATCCGAAGTGATATGTTCTATACTTCTTAATAGCTCTACATCTCAACTAAAACTCTACAACACTTTCAATCTGTATAATACATGTAACACTATACGAGTAGGCTGGTAGAAGTTGGAGCTTAACTATATTGTTTATTATTCTATACAATTTACTTAATTTTGATGGCATTTCTTAATTAAGATAATCGATCATAATAGGAGTGATTACTGTAATGAGTAATACATAAAGAAGTTATAAATGAAGAGTGTAAGCAATTACATGGAGAGCATTTAAATTGAATGAGGGTATAATTACTGTATGGTGCCGAAATCTTCCATATATAACTGTTGTTGCTCCCTCAAAGAATGGTGAAATATATTCTTCAATATTACATTTGTCGCAAGAGCTAATGTTTCAGCAGAATAATGAATTTCGTTATACCGCGTTGTACATTGTATAACATTTGCAATTAAACGATATTTTTGTCATGCTTATTAATTGGTATTATTATGATTAGGGTAACACAATGTAGAATCAATAATAATTGTTGCCTTGCATTTTTTTTCAACAAAAAACGTAATGGCCAATGCATTTTGAAATTCAACTTACTAGCTTAAGCAAAATTTCAATACACTATAATGTATAATTCTTAACAATCTTGTGCAGTCAATAAAATTGTCTTCCGGTTCTTGTTACGAATACTTCCCAATAAAGATAAGAACTGAGAGGAAATGAGAAATATAGAATATATTATAATAGAAGAAGTGATTGAAGACATTATTGCTCAGTGCAATGTCATGAAGACTCTACAGTTTTTACGTCTGAAAACAGTTCACTAAAGAGTTATTCAAATTGTAGTGAATGTTACACCAAACTGTAGCATTTTAGTAAGTCTGTAGTATGAATATATATATAAAGATTTTTGGTTATTGAGCTATTAGTATACTTTCATTAATTTTGCAGACCAATTAACCACAAGATGTTGACGGTATCAATATAAAGTTTTGTAATTTAGCTAATAGCTCTTTTCAAGACTATTAGTT